TCCCCACAGACATGCCCAGAGTTCTGTTTCCTAAGTGATTCTAAATCCAGCCCAGTTGGCAATGAAAACTGATTATCACAAATAATAATAATAAAAAAACAGGCAAATAGCCTGGTGTGGTGAAGTACTTGGGAATCAAATCTCTGTGAGTCTGAGGCCAGCCTGGTCTACATTGTGAGTTCCAGGACATCCAAGGCTATATGGAGAGACCTTGTCTCAAACAAAAGGAATAATAATATTCTTGATGAACTTAGATGCAAAAAATTCCTAAAGAGAAGATCAGCAAACAGAATCAGACGGCAATTAGAGTATTCTAGTTAACATGGCCACATGGGATTAATTTCAGGGATGCAAGGATGTTTCAACATATGCAACACAATAAACATGGCACAACACATTAACAGAATGAACAACAGTGCCCTAAGACCATTTCAATAGATGCAGGAAGGCATCTGACAATTCATGGTAAAGGGCTGAGCAAGGACTGGTGAAGTGGCTTAATGGGCAGAGGCCCTGGCCACAAAAGCCTGATGACCTGAGTTTGTTCCCCAGAAGCCATGTAAAAAGCTGAAAAGAGGGGACCAACTCTCTGAGCTCTGAACCATTCAGAAGGCAGCAATAATATGAGAAAAAGAAGAGATATTAAACTTTGGGAAAACAAGAAGGCCCAACTTGACAAAAACTGCATGAGTTTCTGTACACTAACAATAAAAGCCTGGAACCTGACATTAAAAGCATACTGCCATTTATAATTGTACCAGTAACAGTTAAAATTCATTAGTAAATCTAACAGAGAAAGTAGATTTGTATTTTGAGAGATTTCAAAATACTGGTGAAATCAAATAAATGTAAAAATAATGTTCTTGACTTGAGCACTCAGTGTTGCCACAAGGAAAAGCCAGTTCCAAAATGGACTATATTAATATTAAGAGTCTTTTTTATTCTTAGAAAGGGAAAATATTTGCAAAACATATAACCAATGAACAGTTTATGTTCAGAATATATAAAGAATCCATACAGATTAGTTAGCAGACAAATATATTGGGAAAGGAACTTTGTAAGTCTGAGATCACAAGAGAGAGCTCCAAATGGCCAACGACACATGAAAATGTGTTCAGCCTCACTGACCAAGAAACACAGACTAAAAGCACAGGTCCAGGTCTGGAGGGATGGTTGGCTACTGAGAGCAGTGGCTACTGTTGCAGAGAAGCCACGTTCAGCTCCCAGCAGCCACATGATGGCTCACAGCCCCCTGTATCTCCACTTCCAGGGCTTCTGGCATCTTCTTCAGAATGCTGTGGACTCTTGCCCATATATGGTGTACAGACATGTACTCAGACATGCACATGCAAAATAAAAATATTTAGAACCCCAGGTCCATACTTTTAGATAGTATTGGTGTGGCTCTGAAGTGGTCATAAAGGTCCTACACATTGTGCAAGTTGAAATTAGTGCCTTTGTTTTGAAAGATATTGACAGCATCTAAATCTTAATCCAGTAACCTGGAAACTTCACGCTACTTTCCACAGAAATTGCGTACGTGCACAAAATACATCAGCTAAAGTAAAAACAAACCAAATGTTCATGGGTAAGTACGTTTTCATATAACTGAGTAGCAGGTCACATTGAAAATGAATGACAGTTACTTGAGCAAAGAAACCATTGATTGAAAATAAACAATCACAAAACAAGACAGACATGATTCTATTTACATGGAATTAAAAAATAACCTATGACGTTAGAAGCCAAAATAGTCACTAGCTTTCAAGAAGCATTTGGGAGGGAGCATGGAGGGGGGGGGTCTCTGGAATGCTGGAATGTTCTTGCTGAAGACTTCACCTGGCTTGTAGGACTTCACCTGAAGATTATGAGGGTGTATTTATTTGAGGCGATTTAATGATCTATATACATTTATGGTTTGTTTACTTATTAATATTATCTTATTTTAATCAGATATGTGAAAAATAGACTCATGGATCACATCAGAACAGTTGTCTACAAGGAAACTAAAAGAATGGAAAGGGAGTAAATAAGCAGGTGTGTGGAAGGCAGAGCAAAGAAAGCACCCGATGAGTGATGGGCATGGAGCCTGTGCTAGCAACAGCTCTGGTGTTGTGCAGTGGCTAATTTGAACCCCGGGCACAGGCCCTTGTTTTAAATTACACTAAGCAAAAAGTCCATTTCACTCATCCCATTTCAAGTGCTCAGTGGCCTCATGAGTGCAGTAGCTCAATTGTCTACCATAGGCAAAGGACAGAAAACGTCCATCATCATAGGATGTTCTGTTGGGTGACGTGGGTGAACATGGTTGCATTCTGGGAAAGAATTATAGCAAGATCGTTAGAAGATTCTGAAAATCACCAGCATTGAAGGTATGCGTGCGGGGAACAGACCAAAGTGTCACAACATCCAGAAAGTGGTGTGGAAGCCAAGACAGATTCAATGAGGAAACCCTGGCGTTTGGTGTCACAGAGAAGGAGCTAGAACCACCAGATGGCAAGCAGGAGATCAGCGGAGACCTTAGAGCAGTTCCTGTGCATGTCCAAGTGACATTGTCAGGTCCAGAGTATGAAGGGATAAAGTTAGAAACTTCCAGCAAGACCTGAACTTTGCTGGACACAGTAAATCGTTTACCTTGTGTCCTGGCTCGTGGAGCCCAGACAAGTCAGAGGGTCCCCCAGGATCCCCCAGGGTCTAGAATGGTGTGGCCTGCCTCAGATACAAGGTTCAGATGTGAACACCCTTTGCTTGGGCTCAGAAGAAAGCTACCATCGGCAGGATGGATATGGTTTCTTTGACCATAAGGAAGTGTTCCTGTGGGTTATTTCCGGGGTTGTTAGTGAGATTCCTGAGAACATAAATAATCTGGGGTAGGGCACAGGAGTGTGTCATTATACACACATATGCAAGTACACACACACACACACACACACACACACACACACACTTGAGCCCTGAAAGGGGTAACAGACAGCGTCCCAAGGACTTGCCAAAGGCTTGGCCCACCACCCTATCTCTGAGGTTTCCATCTGCAGTGAGCAGTGCCCAACGGGGTAGCTTTCTCTTTGGTTGCAGTCAGGGAAGACATTAAGGCTTAGAGGAGCGTGCAGAAGGGGGGGTCAGAATTTTCTCCGGAAAGTCACCCTAATGTTTTCCTCCTCATACCTCGTTTCTCTGAGCGTCTCAAGGGACGAGAGAGCTCACCACATAGAGTGGTTTGACATTAAGTTGGCAATCCCTTTCTTCCTTGGGAGTCCTGGGGTTCTCTCTTCCTGCTCCTCTCTCTCTCTCTCTCTCTCTCTCTCTCGGGGACTCGGTCATGTTCTCTCCCAGCTCTCAGAGGGCTTCCCCGAGGATACTATGCCTCTGTCCCCTCAAAGTCCCCCCTCTCCATGACTCCCACCCCCTACACTGGGCCCACTTCTTTCTCCTTCTCTCTGGCCTCCATCCAGCTTCCTATTCGCTCACTTCACTTTCCTGGTTGATTGAGGGCCCTACCAGTAACAAGGCTTTATCTTCCTGTCGTGGGCTGTTAGATGGGAAGTCACAGCTCTAGAGAGAGGAGATTCCCCCACCCACCCAGGCTGCACAGGAGAGCAGGCCTGGGTGATAAGGGAGGAGGACTTGGGAGGGGGTGTTGACAGAGGACTTTAGGCTTTGCAGCTGCTGTTTCCCGAGGAGACTCCTCAGCAAACACTGATCTCCACTGCAGGGATCAGGAGGGTACGACACGGGCCAGGTCAGTCCCATGAGACATGCTGACTCCAGCCCAGAAAACCCACACCTACCCGGCCTCTCACTGTGCCACCTGGCCCCCAGGCCTCATCTCAGACCAATTGCAGGGTGGTAGAGAGGCACAGAGTCTCAAAACCTGTCCAGCCGGTCCTTTCTAAGGCTACAAAAGAGAGAAGAAAGCAAGAAAGGAAGAAAAATGGAGAGTGAATGACAAAAGGCACAGAAAGCAAAAACTCCCAAACCAAATAACCCTCCAGGAAGTGAAACCCTGGAGCCAGGAAATAGAGACCTCTGGCCACACACAGCCTGACTTCCGGCACCCCCGCCCTACCTGCCCCCTGCCGCAAGTAGACAAGGAGCACCTCAGGACATCCAGGAGCCCAAAGCTAGTTCTCCATGTTTCCACTTCAGAGGTGTGACACTCAGGAGGCTTGGCGGACTTGGGGTGAGGGTGCTGTGATACTCATCACTGGCCTGGGTCAAGGCCCCAGACTCCTGCCCACCCCCAGACCCCTGTCCTCCGCTGGTGACTGGAAGAAGATGGCCAGGAATCAAGGAGCTAGGGACCCGGATGTGGCCCTTTTCTGTTGTTTCTGGCAGGGGTCAAAGAAATTAATCTGGCCAGTGAGCCAGCAAACATCACCAGTGGCCACCTCCCATCTCAATTTCAAACCCTGCCCACTACCCTAACCCTGCCCAGGGACTCGGGATCTCAACACGCTGCTCCCCAGCTGTCTCAATGAGGCGACGCCCTTCCAGGGTGGGATTGATCCATAAGTTCCCAGGGTGTGACCCCCAGCTGTCCTCACACCACCCTAGGCAGGTCTTCAGGGCTCCCCATTCCACCTGGTCCCAGATCAGCATCCTCCTCCAGGAAGTTGGCATCGTGTGCTCGTCAGGTGACCCAGGGTGTGGCCAGAGGAGCCAGGAATCTCCACTATATAGCCAAGCTTGCAACCTGGCCCCGAAGCTCCGGGACCCGCAGGTAAGAAGGCATGGGGTTCTCTGCAGAAGGGGGGCAACTAATGCCCTGCTCTGGATCCAGGTTCTAGACCGCTTCTTTTACCTCTGCCTTCAGACCGCTGGATAGCCAATACCCCATCCATTGCCCTTGATCCTGACCTCTGCCCCTCTCGCCTAGCCTCACCCCACCCCCATGCCAAGCCCCTCTTGTCCTATCTATTCTGGCCCTTGTCCGGAGACTGTCCCCTTCTGTCCTGTCTGGAATGGTCTCCAACAGGACAGCATTCTCTGACCCTTCCTCTCTCCCAGGTGCAGGCATGGGATCCCGATGGAGCTTGTGGGCCCTCTGGGCCGGAGCAGCCCTACTGTGGGGTAAGTCAGATCAAGCCCCCGTTTGTGTCTGGGAAGTCCGCTTGCCTGGGTCAGCGCCCTCAAGTTTTGTCCCCTCCACAAACCACTCACAGTGGCACCCCCTAAGGCTAACTTACATGAAATAGAGGCTAGCTGGAATTGAAGAGGCCCTCAGGTAGTGAAAGAAATGGGGGATAGTTCACTCATGCCCCCCCATCTCTCTCTCTCTCCCTCTCTCTCCCTCTCTCACACACACACACACTGAGACGCCCACTACCATCTAGTTCGCACAGATACCCTATCTACTCTTCTACCATCTCTCTCCCCCTCCACCCCCTTCACACAAACCCCCCAGTCATATTAAGGCAGACACCACACAGATTGGGTGGAAATTTCATTTAGAACTTCAGTGAGCCAGATAGCTGTTCTTGAAAAGTGTGAAAGGCTCCAATCTTCCGTAGTAACAGACAGCGAAAGCCGTTTCGGGTGGAGCTCGGTGCTCCAGTTCCCAGGGTGGCCACCTGGGGCTATGTCACACATTTCCAGTCCTCGTCTGCTGCATTTGAGGTCCAGAGCCCTGGGCAAGGTGCTCAGGCGCTGGGGCAGCAAAAGCCGGGAAGGGTTATGGATGGATGGATGGATGGATGGATGCGCGAGTAGGGAAGGAAATGGGAGCAGAGGGGGAGAATTATCTCAAGAGAGTCCCAGGCACAGGCCAACGGGCTGGGTTTGTAACGGGAGGAATAGGTAAGTGGACCCACGACTGCCTTTTCTTAAGGGTTGACCCAGGAGGCCACAGTGGACCCCAGGAACACTGGTGGGGAAGAATTCCTCACGGCCTTCCTGCAGAATTCCCAGCCCGGGTACAGCACCGCCTCTCTCCACCTCTTCATCTCCAGTCTGTCAGAGAGTACCACCTCTGTCACCGTCCTCAGCCAGGCCGATGACACCTCACAGAAGGTCGCGGTGAAGCCTGGGGAGTCAGTCATGGTCAGCGTCAATGCCAAAGCAGAGATGAGTGGCAGCAGCACTTTCCAGCGAGCAGTAGTGGTCCGCTCTGACCACCGCATCTCTGTGCAGGCATTGAATGCTAAGCCGGGAACAGCGGAGCTAACACTGCTCCGGCCTGTGGGAGCCCTGGGCACAGAATACTTTGTGCTCACACCCCCTGGCATCTCTTCCCAATACGTAAAGGAGTTTGCTGTGGTGGCTGGCAAAGCAGGTGCCTCCGTTATTATCAGCTTGAAGGCAGGGGTGACATTCCAGGGCACTTTCCATCCAGCTGGTAGTATCTTAAGTGTGACTCTGGAGCCCTATGAAGTGGCCCAGTTACAGAGCACCACAGATCTCTCTGGGTCAAGGGTCACAGCCAACAGCCCAGTGGCTGTTCTTTCTGGCCACAGCTGTGCCCAGAAACACACAAACTGCAACCATTTGGTGGAGCAACTGCTACCCACATCTGCTTGGGGGACCCACTATGTGGTCCCCCCTCTGAGCTCCCAGTCCCGCTACGATCTAGCCTATGTTGTAGCCAGCCAGACCACAAAACTGACATACAACCATGGGGGCACCATTGGCTCCCGAGGCCTCCGCATGGGTGATGTGGTTGAGTTCGAGATCCGGCCAACCCGGCCACTCTATCTGTCTGCAGATGTGGGCATCCAGGTTGCGCTGTTTGGCACAGGGGCCGTAAAGGACCAAATGACCTATGACCCTTACCTGGTCCTGATCCCAGATGTGGCAGCCTACTGCCCTGCCTATGTGATCAAGAGTATGCCCGGCACTAAGGGTGTGGCACTGGTGATTGCCCAGACAAAGGCTACCAGTGAGCTAACCGTGGATGGGCAGGCATTGGGGGCCAAACTCGCCTGGGTGGCTGTGCCAGGCAGCGAGTTCTCCTACGCAGAAGTGGACCTTGGCACTGCTGACAAGATGCACACAGCCCAGGGTTCTACCAGCTTTGGGCTGCTCACCTTCGGGCTGGCCCAGGCTGTGGGCTATGGGACATCAGCTGCCTGTGGACAGAGTGAGTGATGGATGGGAAATGATCTCTGGCCTTGGCCTCCCCTCCATGCCTTCCCTGCCTATTCCCCGTTGGCTTCCTGGCTTAGTTAACCTTTCTGTCTCACATCGACCCGCCATGGTACACTTCCTTAATTCCTCTCAGCCCCTCCCCTCCCCCTACAGAAACCGATCCTAAGTATTGACCAACAAGAGTGACCAGAGGCACAAGTCTCTCTCTGTAGCACTGCCTCAGGGAGCCCCTACTGTGCACTCTGTTGGCTTGAGATGAGGCTGTGGAAAGGGTCCTGGGGAGACCCAGGGAGCTGAAATAGAAGGCTCTTTGGGAAGGCGCTGGTCACTACTTTGATACCTTACTAACTACTACCGTTATACCTGTTGCTCACTGCAATGCTCATGAGACCCAAAAAGTAACAATGGGGATCGTGGGGTGGGGACGTCTCTGCATTCCAGCCTCCCTGGGTGCTTCATGCGCTTCGGCATAGTTAAGGGACAGGACCTGGCCCTGTGTGCGACCTCGGGCTCAGCCCATGCAGAAGATGTCACCAGGCAGCTGCGGTGTCGTGAGGACACAGGACCAGAGTCAGCGGGCCTGGGGTTAAACCCAGCTGTGCCTGTGTGACCTTCAGCCCCTTTGGTGGCTGTGGCCGTGAAGTGGGGACAATGCCCGACCCTCCCACCCCCTCAACAGGACTGTGATGAGAGTGAACAAATGAATGCGTGTGATGTCCTTAGATCAGCTTGTGGGGAAAGGTCAGGGCGGTGCAGGCTGAGCTGTTGCCAGGGCCGGGGTGGAGGGGGCAGAGGGAGAGAGTTCTTGAGGGCCGGGGGCTGACCAGGAAGGGCTGTTTCCTCCAAGATTGTCTTCAAACTGGGAACCTAGACCCAAGGCTTTCTCATCCTGACAAAAACACCACCGCATCTCAAGGGGCGCTTACAGTATGTGTGTATCTGTATGTATATACACCCAGGCAATCATGTGTGTATCTGTGTAAGAGCTGGTATGTACACTCAGGCATACATGTGTGTAAGCAGGTTTGCACAGGCAGGCATGCATGCATACATGTATGCAAGTATTTGCACACACACATGCATGTGAGTATCTGTGTGTAAGCAGGAATGCACACCCAGGCATGTATATTTGTAAGCAGGTATCACACCCAGGCATGCATGTGTGTATGCAGGTATGCACACCCAGCACACATACGTAGAGGCCAATATCAGGTATCTTCTTCCGATCCCTCCCATCTTGTCCGGTTGGTTTTGAGACTCTGAACCTGGAGCTCTCAGTCAGCTAAACCGGCTGACCTGCCAGCCCCTGGGATCTGCCTGCCACTGCTCCCACCAACCTCACTGACTAACACACTTGCCTCCGTGCCCAGCTGGAATCTGAACTCATGTCCTCCTGCTCACACAGCAAGCACGTTGCCCACATCGCCCAGTCCCGTCTCCCAGTCGGATGGGAAGACAAGGGAGAGGGAAATGGAACGTGAACAGTGGAGTGTGTCAGTAGCCGCTCCTGGTCCCTCTCCACTACTGCCATTCCTCTGGGCCTCGCTGCGCTAAACAGTGAGATCAGAGGAAACCCAGAGAATCCCTCTCCACGAGACTGCAAACCTCAGTTTCCGGGCCTGCAGAATGGGTGGCCGTGAGCCCACTGCCCCCGGTCCATGCTGAAGGAGGCCCCAGGGTTCCTCCCTCGTGAACATTTCTAACTCTGTTTCCGACTCTCTCCCCCACCCCCAGCTCGGCTCTCCCCAGCAGAGGCTTCCTGCCAAGGCCTTCAGTGTGCATCTGGGCACCGCTGCCAGATGGTGAGCGGGAAGGCCAGGTGTGTGGCAGAGTCCACAGCTGTGTGCCGCGCCCAGGGTGATCCCCATTACACGACCTTCGATGGCCGCCGCTATGACATGATGGGCACCTGCTCCTACACCATGGCTGAGCTGAATGGAGATGATGAGACCCTGCCAGCCTTCAGTGTGGAGGCTAAGAATGAGCATCGGGGCAGCCGCCAAGTCTCCTACGTGGGCTTGGTCACAGTCCATGCCTACAGCCACTCTGTGACGATAGTTCGTGGGGAAACTGGCTTCGCCCGGGTAAGTGTTCAGAGTTTAATACCCATGAGCCACCAGTCAAAAAAAAAAAAAAAAAAAGAGCCCTGCTGTGAAACCCCAAACTCGGGGCCTTCTAGTGAGGTGGTAGGGAACTGGTGAGTTTTGAAATCCAGTAGTAGCTCTTTAAATCCTTCCCCTCACCAACCCCACTTCTAGAAGCATTAAGGACATTGGTTGAGTGCCTGGTTAGGAAGAAAATAATCGGACGCTGTTTGGAAAAGCAAAAGGGAAAAGAAAAGAGAATGGAAAAAGAAATGATGTGATTGTCCAATAACTGGGGGTCTCTGGGGTAACGTAATCACCGTTGGTGATTGTGTTCTGGCGCCAGATCTGCTCTTGGTAGGCTCTGCGTGCAATGCTTACGCGATCTCTTGGAGGTGGCACTGTACCTCAGGCAGGGATGAGTGAGGAAAGAGTTTGAAGGAGTGGGTTCGCAAGGCCCGGGAGCTAGGCCGTCCTGGGTAACGCTGGAAGGGGAGCATGAGGCTGACTGCAGGGTCTCCGTGCTAGGTCTGGCGAATGCACTGCTTTGCAGTCAAAGCAGCAATTATCTTCCTTCCTTACCATGTCACCATGGAGGCAGTGAGGCCTCTCTCCACAAGCCGCGAGTCCCTTATCTCCAGGCCAAATATGTTTCAGATTTTCAACCTTTTAAAATATTGGAGTATTTGCATGTACATACTGTGATGGCACCCAAGCCCAAACACAAAATTCATGTGGGTTGCATACATTCCTAACAAAAAGCTTAACGATAATTTTAAACACTATGTTCAGTGCACACATTTATTTTTTATCTTATTAATCTTTCTGGTATCAGGGGATGAATCCATGTGTAACATCTTCTTAATGCTCAAAAAGTGTGAGATTATATATATATATATATAATCTAGACATCTGTGTGCCATCCCCTGCGTAGACTCTAAACATTTTAACGATTTTTTGTTTACCTCAGATACACATCTGACATTCCTGTCAGATTGACAGTCTCATTTTTCATGTACTTGAACGTCAATTAGACATCAGAACACGTCTCCAAAATGACGTCAACATATATATCAGTAACGAGAATGCATTGTTTAAATAATTTTTGCTTAATTTTCAGATAAATTTATATATATTAAAACTCATTGCTAGGCCTAATGGGATAAGGCCTAAATCCAAGCTGCCTAACAAGCTGATCCTAAGCTCAAGGCCAGCCTGGGCAACTTAGTGAGTAAAGAGCAAAGGAAAGACGGGAAGGAACTTGGCTCAGTGGTACAGGGCCCAAGTAGACTCTGCAAATGCAAACTGGGTATACAGCCAGAGGCAAATCACTTGCCTGGCATGTATAATGCCCTAGTTTCTGTTTCAATTTTTATTTTAGTCAGAATCTCACTATGTAACTCTGGCTGGCCTGGAACTCACTGTGTGTGTAGACCAGGATTCCCTGAACCGTAGAGATCTGGCTGCCTCTGCCTCCTGAGTGTACCACCACACTTGGGAAGCTCTCGTTTCAGTCCACAGTAGCACACACCTCCCCTCAAAATCAAAACCACACACTGGAAGTGTACTCTTTGACTGCGTCTTGACAAGTGTGTAGCAACCCCCCCCCCCCATTGAGACAGAGAATATTTCATCACCTTGGATGATGGCTGCCGGCTGTGCAGTCTTCAAGCAGTTCAAGCAGTGTCTCGTGCATCTGACCGCTCACATTTTTCCTCCTCAGATTAGTTGTGCCTCCCAGGGCTTGGTGGGCAGAGATGGGTACGGGTCCCTCTGTGAGCTTGAGGCCAGCCTTGTGTACATAGTGGGAATAGAGACTCACAAAGAATTCACGAAAGGGCATATTATAAAACTTACAATTCTGCATATGACATCATGGGTTCTTTTCCACTCCCATACAATAAACTCCTTCTGTCAGTCCTTTAAAAAAAAAAAAAGAAGATTTTTTTTGAAATGTTATTATTGAACTCCAAACCTTACAAATGCTACTGGGTGCTGCTCTGCTGGGATACATTCCCGCTCTCTTCATTTCATTTTGAGACAGGACTCACTAGGTTGACCAATTGGCCTCTCCCTTGCAAGCCTCCTGTCTCCTCCAGAATAGCTGGGGTTCTTATCGGTCCTTCCAGGCTTGACTCAACTGTCCCTTCTCTGCGGAGCCTTCCTTAGCTTTGCATGGCTTTTTCTCGAGGCTTCCACCCTCTGCAGAGCCCCCCACGCCCTGCCCTGTCCTCACTCCTCAGCCCACATTGGTTGCTGATGCTGTGTCACTGTTCCCCCGCTGCTAGCACGGGGCCAGGAAAAGGTGAGTTTATCCCACAGCAGTTTGGCCCGGGCTAGGTATAGGACAGAGAAGTAAGATGCTTCTAAAGGGAAGAAGGCAGAGTGCTTGCTTCACAGACAGGGAGGAGACTCGGGAACATGAGCCACTTTGTACGCAGCTCAGAATGTGCCAATGCTTGTGTTATAGCTGCCCCTGGGCACAGATCCTACTATGCTGATTGATATGCCACGGTGATGGTTTAATGAGGCAGGCGGCCTGCGGCAGACTTGTCATCATCTTGGCGGCTGCTGGTCTTGACTGGTTCTGCCCACAGCAGCCGGTTGCCGCTCAACCCCCCCCCCCCCCCCGTCTCAGGGACACGAACCCTGCCTCTCACTGGTCCCCTGCAGCCCCTTGCTGCCACCACAGCTGCCCGCTTCCTCCTGCACGCTGGCTGCGGCTGCATGCTTGTAGTGAGCCTGCTGTTCTCCAGGCACTGCTGGAGATGCTGCAGACAGAACCCTGAGGGGGCCTTCTAGTGGCTCAGACAGATGGAGAGTGCAGGAAACTAGCCCACTGTGGGAGAAGCCTAGCTGCCCTGGGGACTGGAGGGCAGAGGAGGAGGGGCAACAGGAAGGGCGAGCAGGGATGGCCTCACTGAGTCAGTGACACCTCAGCGGACATTAGCTGGGGTGGGGGTCTCCGTGCACCTCAGGGAAGAACACTTGGGCCACCAGAGGTACAAGAGCAAGCATCCCTAGGCTCAGCTGGGAAGGACGAAGGAAGGACAAGGAGGGGAGGCGTCCTGTGTGACTAGAGCTGGGGACATGAGGCCTGAAGGGGAGATAAGACAGATGTCTGACCTCTGCCACCTCTCTGCAGATCGACAATCAGCGCTCCCGCCTCCCCGCCTCCCTGAGTGAGGGTCGCCTGCGCGTGTACCAGAGCGGAACACGAGGTGTGATCGAGCTGGACTTTGGGCTGGTGGTCACCTATGACTGGGACAGCCAGCTGACACTCAGCCTGCCCAAGCGCTTCCAAGACCAGGTGTGGGGGCTGTGTGGCAACTACAATGGGGACCCTGCTGACGACTTCCTCACACCTGACAGGGAACAGGCTTCAGATGCCTTGGAATTTGCAAACAGCTGGAAGCTGGATGATGGGGACTACCTATGTGATGACGGATGCCACACGACTTGTCCCTCCTGCACTGCAGGCCAGACCCAGCACTATAAGGGAGACCGGCTCTGTGGCATGCTAACGCTAGCCACAGGCCCCTTCTCTGCCTGCCATGAATTGCTGGACCCCAAATCTTTCCTAGAGGATTGTGTGTTTGACCTGTGTGTGACTGGAGGGGAGCGCCTCAGCCTGTGCCGGAGCCTTGGCGCCTATGCCCAGGCCTGTGCAGAACTGGGTGTCTCTATTGGAAACTGGAGGCCACCAACCAACTGCCGTAAGTAGCACCTGGGATGGGCAGCCCACGGTGAGGGCAGGGAACCTTCTTGTATTTGCTCAATACCTGAGTCATCGTGATTCAGCCTGAGGCTGGACAATGCCAGAGATATAGGTTGACCAAGACATCTAAGCTTTGCCCAAGTTTTCCAGTCTAAGGTTAGGACAGACACATCACTAGATAGGGAGAGTTTGGAGTGATTGTTGAGACGGAAAGGGCTCGGGCATGGGTAGTAGAGTTAGAGGGATGGGGACAGGGAGATGATGAAGGAAACCCTGGGCCTGGGGAGGACTCTGCTCCCCCCCCCAAGATGGAGCCACAGGTGGTTGGGGGTAAGCTATGTGGCCTGATCCTGCATCCCTAGTCCCTCCGGCTGCTGAGAGGAGCAGATTTGGTACAGGGGACCAGGACACCAGGCAGGAAGCTGCTGTGATTCGTGGGCTGTGAAGACAGATTCTGGGTGGGCTCCGACTATGAAAGTCGCAGGATTTGCCCACTGACTGGTCGTCCAGGGATGGGATGGAGGAGGCCACTGGGGCCTGAGCATCAGGAAGGGATGGGTGCCATTAACTGAGGGGTGTGGAGCTCTGAGGGAGCAGCATTGTCTAGGGGAACCCACCCTTGCCTGACACGACTTCTGTCCTCCCACAGCCCTGTCCTGCCCAGCCAACAGCTGCTATGATCCTTGCAGCCCAGCCTGCCCAGCCTCCTGCAACTCAGAAGCTGCACCCAGCAACTGCTCTGGGCGCCCCTGTGTGGAGGGCTGCGTGTGCCTTCCGGGCTTTGTGGCCAGTGGTGGCGAGTGTGTGCCTGCGTCATCCTGTGGCTGCACCTACCAGGGCCGTCCCCTGGCCCCAGGTCAGGAGGTGTTTGCTGACGACCTGTGTCGGCAACGCTGCACCTGTGATGGAGCCACCCAGAAGGTGATCTGCAGGGACACATCGGGGTGCCCTTCTGGTGAGCGCTGCCGTGTGCTGAACGGCCTCCTGGGTTGCTACCCAGACAACTTCGCCAGCTGCCAAGCATCTGGAGACCCACACTACGTGAGCTTCGATGGAAGGCGCTTTGATTTTATGGGTACCTGCACGTACCTGCTGGTGGGTTCGTGCGGCCAGGATGCCGCGCTGCCCGACTTTAAGGTGCTGGTGGAAAATGAACATCGAGGGAGCCAGACCGTGAGCTACACCAGAGCTGTGCGGGTGGTGGTCCATGGTGTGGAGGTCGCTGTGCGCAGAGAGTACCCGGGAAGAGTGATGGTGAGCCCACAGGGCAGGGAACTGTGGGGGTGTCCCCTAAAAAGTTAGTGTCTGTAGTTGGGGTAGAAGGGGAGTATTTAAAAATCTTGTGATTATGGGGGAGATCCGGGATCCAGGCAGCATCATCCCTTCTCAGCTCTGTCTGTACCTTCGTGCTTTTCTCTGAGAAAGGATGGGTGGTGGTGGAGCGCCCGGATGAACTCATGCCTGCCTGGCCTTTAAAAGATGTCTTGCTGCCCACTAAGTGCCCAGTAGGTGTTGGCGGTTGCTGTCTGTCTTCTGAAACTTCAGAGGTGTAGACTTGTGCATTTTCCAGGGAGATGGTGGTTCATAGGGCGAGATGACGTATAGAATGCCGGTATCTATCTCTGTGTGTGTACATGTTAGAGGGTAACCCGGATCCTCATCCGGTCTCTGGGAGCAAGATAGAGCAGCGCTTCCTGGCGTCAGGGTGGCCTTCAGAAGGACCCAGCCCCCGCTCACCTTTCTCTGTAGACTCCAGAGGTAAAACTGGAGAAGCCAGCCATCGAGTTCACACAGTATCCCATACTTAGCATGAAGAAGTCAGGACAGTAGTTGGAGTTTGCCCATCCCCTGGAGAGAGGAGCGGGGGACATTGGAAATGGGAGACAGAGAGGACTCCTGTGCTTCGGACCCTGACCTCTCACACACTTTCACCCCTCGCCCCCAAAGCAATCTTAGAGCGAGGAAAATGTTGCCCATGAGTGTTTGACTTTGGGGTGGGGAGGGGCAACTACAGGTCAGGAGAGGGTTAATTATGGATAGGTATTTGTTTTCCCACATCTCTGAAATGACATTCGCTCAAGGCCTGTCTACTAACAGCTAACGTGAATTATGTTACTACTAACTTCACTGGGCTAAATGAACAGTACGTCCATTCATCTCCTCTCCATCACAAGCAAGGAAAGCAATTCACCGTTCGCCAGGGAGAATCAAACAAACAAACAAGCCTGAAACACAGAGAGGTTAAGTCACCTACACACAGTTGTGTGTTACTGAAGAGGGCGCTAGTGAGTTTAGATGCCCTCAAGCTAGGATTTGGAACCCGGCTGTTTTCGCCCTGGAGTTCATACTATTAAAAAATGATTTTATTATTTTTAACTGAGGGCCATGGGTTACGAAGATAAGTGCCAGAGGAACCCAGAAGTATGGGACCCCTTTGGGCATGCTGGGAACTGAACTCAGTCGGTGAGTCCTCTGTAAGAACAGCCCATTCAGCTAACTACGGAGATACCTCTCCAGCCTGCAGGGGTTTTTTACAGCTGTTTCTTGTCCTGAGGCGAGACATGGGACAGCTGGTGAAGAAAGTGGATAGACAGGAGGTCCAGGAGGAAGGGGCAGCGTGTGTGAAGATCCTGGGGCGGGGATGAGCTTGAATGGGTGATGGCCAGCAAGGATGCTAGCGGAGGGACCGGAGACGGAGATCAAAAAGATGGGGCCGGGGCTAACTATAACCAAGCTTTGGGATTCAGGTGCAGCCTGGAGACCGGGGAAGATGCTGCCAGGTAAATGGTGGCATCTTGCAGGCAGAGGGAACAGCATATGCGAAGCCTGAGATGAAGAGAGCGACTCCTGGGAGAGTAACACTAGGAGGCGGCACGCAGAAGCAGGAGGAATTGTGGGTCAGAAAGGTGGCCGGCCGTGCGCAGGGCCAAGTGCGGAGAGAAGCTCGGCTTTAAGTAGACTGTAAAGGTGACAGGAGCAGCTGTTTGAGATCTGCGACGTGGAAGTGAGCGAAAGTGTGGCAAGCTGAGGCACAGCAAGTACAAGGGCCCCAAGTCTGGACTGGGCTCCGTGAGTTCAAATACACGTGCGGCTGGAGATGCGGGGGAGGGCTGTGCTGGGAGACTGCATGAAGAGGCGGGGCTCAGAGCATCTAGACCACGTGAGACCACGATGAGGGCTTCGGCAGGGGAAAGTTGGCATGCAGACAGGGTGGGAAGTGGTGGGTGCCGTTCCAAGGAGAGCTCAGAGGGGCAAGGGCTGGGGAATGAGAGACAAGAGAGGCGGAGTAATGGTGGGTAAGGCGTTGGCAGGGCTGAGGTCTAGCAGGACATTCCGTGTGAGAGGCCTGAACAGCAGGCAAGTCCAGAAGGGTAAAGCAGAAGCAGCCGGGTTGGCGGATGGTGTTTAGGCCTCGAGGCTAGACTAAACAGGAAAGCTTGCCGGTGGCTTACTCAGTCATCCCATGGCCCAATGCCTGTCAAGAAGCAAGGCAAGGAGGGACTGGTTTTGGCTCATGGTCTGGGGGTACAGTACACTGGGGTAGGAAGACATGGCCACTGGCTCCGTGTTAGCCTGAATGTGAAGAGAGGCTTGCTCACATCTCAGTGGACCAGAAAGCAAGGAGAGGGGCCCGTGGGTTAGCTCCTGTCAGACCTCCCTCCCAGCTCTGCCCACTTCCTCCTCATGCCGTCAGCTATGGATGGTGTTCACACTTGAGCCCGTGCGGTCATGCTCACATGGGTACCAGGGAGACAGGTGAGGCAGGCCTGGAAAGACAGGATCTCAGTCTCGAGGGTAGGGAGCGATGGGTGATGTGCTGGGCCTTATGAAGCCCTGAGGCGGAACCAAGAAAGGCTGGAGCCAGCTGACTGAAATCATGGATACACTGACCTGCTGCTCTCCCTGCGTCTCTACCCAGGTGGACGGCATCCTGCAGTACCTGCCCTTCCAGGCCGCGGGAGGGAAAATCCAGGTGTTCCGCCAGGGCAATGATGCAGTCATACGCACAGACTTCGGCCTGACTGTTACCTACAACTGGGATGCTCACGTGACTGCCAAGGTGCCCAGTAGCTACTCAGAGGCTGTGTGTGGGCTCTGTGGGAACTTCAATGGGAACCCAGCTGATGACCTGATGCTGAAGGGTGGAGGCCAAGCTAACAGCGCCCTGGACTTTGGAAACAGCTGGCAGGAGGAGATAATACCTGGGTGTGGAGCAACCGATGCTGGTGACTGCCCCCAACTGGACTCCCTTGTGGCCCAGCAACAACAAAGCAAAAAGGAATGTGGGGTCCTTGCCGATCCTGCGGGACCCTTCAGGGAGTGTCACAAGTTGCTGAGCCCCCAGGGTGCTCTTCGTGACTGTGTCTATGACCTCTGCCTGCTGCCCGGCCAGTCTAAGCCGCTGTGTGACGCACTCGCTGCATATGCTGCCGCCTGCCAGGCTGCTGGGGTCACTGTGCATCCCTGGAGGAGTGAGAAACTTTGCCGTGAGTACCAAGAGTGGCAACCTGGGATTGGGTCCGGTTTGTTCATTAACAGGTGCCCGGTGAGGAAGGAGCTATGCTAACGCCATGTGACGTACCAACTCGAAGTTACATGCCTGCGCTCACGACAGCTGGGAAGTCACAGCAGCAGGCAGTGGCACTGGGGACTGAAACACATGGTGACCCCAAGTCAGATTGCCAGTGTCAGCTGTCAGAGATAAGCTGCGGTGCTGCATTCAGAATGAGCCTGGTCCCAGCTCACCACTTAGCCCATGCACATCTCTTTACTTCTTTACAGGGAGGGTTGGCAAACAGTTTTGCTTGTCTTTTGCGGAGATTTGGAAAGCCATGCACCCATCTCCTGAGTGTGAAACATTGCTCGAGTATGCTCTATATACTGCACATGCTTTAACTGTGCACATAAACATACAGTTTGACTAGCTTTCAGCATGAGGCCAAACCATGCAAATAGTGCCGGGTCCCCTGCCCTTGGAGGGAGATTTGAACTATGTGCGTGGAACGCGCACCTCGAGCTGCTCCATCTCAAGTATAGATACTTGCAGACACGGAAACGCCCAGTAAGTGGTAATCTTTGACTTTAAGCTCCTCTCTTGTGGGGAAAGTTGAATTTACCACAAGACAGTGAAACAGTGAAGCTTTTATGTCTGTCATCCATCCCACAAAAATTAACATGGTCAACAAAGATCAGCATTTAAAACTGTTATTACAGTGTGTGTGTGTGTGTGTGTGTGTGTGTGAGTGATATGTATGGTGTGTGGTGTGTGTGTGGTATGTGGTGTGTGTGTGTGTGATATGTGTGGTGTGTGTGATATGTGGTGTGTGTGTGTGCACATGTGTATGTGTGTGTGAGTGATATGTGTGGTGTGTGTGTGTGGTGGTGTGGTGTGTGTGTATCTGTGTGTTTGTATGTGTGAGTGATATGTGTGGTGTGTGTGTGTGTGATATGTGTGGTGTGTATGGTGATATGTGTGGTGTGTGGTGTGTGTGTGTGTATCTGTGTGTTTGTGTGTGTGATATGTGTGGTGTGTGTGATATGTGGTGTGTGTGTGTGCACATGTGTATGTGTGTGTAAGTGATATGTGTGGTGTGTGTGGTGTGTGTGGTGTGTGTGTGTGTGTGATATGTGTGGTGTGTGTGGTGATATGTGTGGTGTGTGGTGTGTGTGTGTGGTGGTGTGGTGTGTGTGTATCTGTGTGTTTGTATGTGTGAGTGGTATGTGTGGTGTGTGGTGTGTGTGTGTGTGTGATATGTGTGGTGTGTATGGTGATATGTGTGGTATGTGGTGTGTGTGTGTGTGTATCTGTGTGTTTGTGTGTGTGATATGTGTGGTGTGTGTGATATGTGGTGTGTGTGTGTGTGCACGTGTGTATGTGTGTGTGTGTGATATGTGTGTGTGGTGTGTGTGTGATATGTGTGGTGTGTGTGTGTGTGTGTGTGGTGGTGTGGTGTGTGTGTATCTGTGTGTATGTGTGTGTGTGTGATATGTGTGGTGTGTATGGTGATATGTGTGGTGTGTGTGTGATGTGTGGTGTGTGTGATATGTGGTGTGTGTGTGTGCACATGTGTATGTGTGTGTGAGTGATATGTGTGGTGTGTGTGTGTGTGTGATATGTGTGGTGTGTGGTGTGTGTGTGGTGGTGTGGTGTGTGTGTATCTGTGTGTACGTGTGTGTGAGTGATATGTGTGGTGTGTGTGTGTGAGTGATATGTGCGGTGTGTGTGGTGTGTGTGGTGTGTGTGGTGTGTGTGATATGTGTGGTGTGTGGTGTGTGTGTGGTGGTGTGGTGTGTGTGTATCTGTGTGTATGTGTGTGTGGTGATATGTGTGTGGTGTGTGTGTGATATGTGTGGTGTGTGTGGTGATACATGTGTGTAGCTATAGAATGAAAGGTACCGCTGGAGAATGGTAGAATGCTTTGCTTGAATGTCAGAGGTTCTGATTTAAAAGAAAATGCAGCAGGAGGAGAAGAGCAGGAAGGAAAGATGCAGACGGCTAAGAAGGAAGGTGATATCCACAGACACGCTGCATAGGTTACTCACTTGTATATGTGTGTGCATGTTTAAAAACTGCATTGCACAAAACTTATACCCAACTTGAACAGACAGAGATAATCACAAATTTCAGTGGTATTAGCATAAAATATTTATAGACAGGATCAAATAAAATGTGATAGGAGTTTTTCTCCTGCCCTCATTAAATACAGACATCTTGCAGCTGGGTGGGACACTTGCATGTGTGTACATACATGTAATGGGGGGGGTATCCACTGTGTCCCTTTGAAAGAGTTACTGATCATGACGGCCCCTCTCTCTGCAGCGTTGACCTGCCCACCTAACAGCCACTATGAGCCATGTTCCTATGGATGTCCTCTGTCCTGTGGAGACCTGCCAGTGCCCCAAGGCTGTGGCTCAGAATGCCGAGAGAGCTGTGTTTGTGATGAGGGCTTCGCCCTCAGTGGTGAGTCTTGTGTGCCCCTGGCCTCCTGCGGCTGTGTACACCAGGGCACCTACTACCCGCCAGGAGAAACCTTCTACCCTGGACCTGGATGCGAGTCTCTTTGCCACTGCCAGGAGGGTGGCCTGGTTTCCTGTGAGCCCTCCTCCTGTGGCCCACATGAGGCCTGCAAACCATCCAATGGCGCCCTGGGCTGTGTGGCTGTGGGCACCACCACCTGCCAGGCATCGGGAGACCCCCATTACATTTCCTTTGACGGCCGCCGCTTTGACTTCATGGGCACCTGTGTGTATGTGCTGGCGCAAACTTGTGGAACCCGGCCCGGCCTGCACCAGTTCACCGTCCTGCAGGAGAATGCGCCCTGGGGCAATGGCCAAGTCAGTGTGACCAAGGCCATCACAGTCCAGGTGGCCAACTACACCCTGCGGCTGGAGCAGAACCAGTGGAAGGTCAAGGTGAGAGCCGGGGCGGGCATGGAAGGAGGCTCCCTCGGGGCGAGCCACACGTGGGCAGCGCAGGAAGAGCATGCAGAGCCCCCGAGAAAATGGCAGAGTGGGGTCCTGATTAGAGGAGGTAGTGCTGGGAAGTCCAGAGCAAGGAGGCCAGGACCTTTTCCTATGCGGCCACGGCTCTTCCAGCACAGCTGCTGATCCTTTCTTCATCTCCCCCAGTTCCCCATCTTCCTTCACCACATATGCTCCCTGCCCGGGCCCCTCCCTGGTCTCTCACCACAGACAGGGCGTGGTGCAATCACTCAGAGGAAAGGTCAGAGGTGGGAAAGTTCAAAGAGGCCAATTTGTGATCCATGGTCCCTGAACTACAGCAACGGCAATAACGCAGCTGCGGATGTTACACACTGGACTGCTGGCACAGGCCGCCTTTGTAGCCTTGTGGGACCATCTTCCCTTCCCTTCCATTACTGTCCTGAGGTCCCTGAGAAAATCCAGTGTTGTTGTTACAGGGACCCGAGAGAGCTAGCTGCTCCAGGAAGGGAATACTCCTTTTCGTCCAGGGTTTCAGAGGGTTTTAGTCTGTGTTTGTCTATCCCTGTGTGCTCAGGGAAAACACAATGGCTGTAGGGACGTGTGGTGGAGGAGGGCGGTTTACAGGATACAGAGAGGAGAGGACTGAAAGGACCAGGTGCAAGATGCTCATAAAATCCTGCCAGTGACCTACATCCTCCAGCTAGGTCCCACCTCCTAGAAGTTCCAGAACCTCCCAGAATAGGGCCACTAGCTGGGAACCAAGCAAAATGACCCTTAGGGAGATCATTCCTATAACAGCAGGGTTTAAGCCCAGAATCTATGAACTAGACCTTGTGCTGCACGCTTTCCTGAACTGGAAGGATTGGGTCTGAGGTGGAGCCTGGCATTTGAGATACACTGGGAACATCCCCCACTGACATGCACACAGCCATTGCTCTGGTAGCAGTAGGCGCCAGAGCTGTCACATGCCCTGAACATGGGCTACAGGACGCAGCGTCTTCCCTAACGAGCACCTGACAAATAAGCAGCTCCAGACACATGGGGACAGTCTCTGTCCCTCACTGCACAGGGAGAAACGGAGCCCAGAGGTTAACTGACTTGCCCCTCCCTATTCATGGCCAGCCTGCTGGGGAGAAATGGCTGCCGATGTCTAGAGCACGTCTAGAGCACGTCTTTCCCCTGCCCACTCCCTGCCTCCTCACAGCTCTGGAAACCCAGTGCGCAGAGTGTGTGTGATGAAAGAGGCACAGATGTGGTGGCCAGGGGTGCAGCTCCCAGACCTGGTTGGGGCCAGAGTCCTCGGGTGACCTTCAGATGAGGAATGGAGCCTGCCTTTGCATCCAGCCACACTGACAGCAACTCTGAGTGCCCTTGACTGTCCAGATGAAAACTTGCAGACACAGCCCCGGCCATGGGAGGGGCGGGGTCCACAGTGCAAACCTTTGTCCATGTCATGTATCAGATTCCCTGGGTGACACTCTGGAGGTAAGGCACCGGACAGACTGATCCCCCTAGGCAGACAGGGAGCAGAAACACAGGTGACTCCAAGAGCCCAGCCATGCGCCCCGGGGCTCAGTCCCTGCATTTTCAGTCACCATGGCACCCGGTGATGAAGGATCCCCTCACCCAGGCTGGTGAGGTCGGTACCCCTCTGAGACCTCTGAGAGTTTCCTGGTGGCTGCTGTGACAAAATGCCACAGCTTGTGGACTTAAAATATCACACATAGTCACCATTCTAGATGCCAGACACCCAGAATCAAGGTAGCTGCAAAGCTGCACCCCTCCAGGGGCAGAAGGGGGACCCTTCTTCCCCCTCCAGCTCTTGGTGGCTCCAGCTATCCCTTGGCTTGTAGTGCCCACTCTCAATCCCTGCCTTAATCTTCCCTCTTCCTGTGCGTGCGTGCGTGCATGCGTGCGTGCGTGCATGCGTGCGCCTGTCTCTCTCTCCTCCTCTTTTCTTTCTTCTTTCCCTCCCCTCCCCTCCCCTCCCCTCCTCTCCTTCCTCTCCTCCCTCTTCTGGACTTACTTGCAGTGCAGCCTGATCTAGGATTATCTCACTTTGAGGCAAGAACTCTAATTCCACCTGCTGGTCTTTCTCCAAATATGGTTGCTTTGTGAGTCCTTGGCAGGCTTATCTTTTTTTTTTTTTTTTTTTATGTGCATCTCTGTGCATATGCACGTGTGCATGTGGGTGGCCACAGAGGCCAGCAGGGGCATCGGGTCCACTGGAGTTGGCGTTACAGGAGTTGTGAGCTGCTGGATGTGGGTGCTGGGGTCCGAACCCTGGTCCTCTGATAGAACAGTAAATGCTCTTAACTGCTGGATAGACTTTCCATTTGGAAGCCACCATTCCACCCACTGTAAGACACTATTACTATATATACTTTCCAATATGGAAACTGAGGCCTAGAGAAATGAGGTCACAGAGGATTTCAGTGTCAGGTAGGAACACTCAGGGGCAGAGCGCCTCAAAGTGTGCATTCTGAGGCTTTGCATCCCTTGCCTCCCAGGTGGACGGGGTGGACATGAAGCTGCCAGTCGTGCTGGATGGGGGCAAGATCCGTGTCTCCCAACATGGGTCTGATGTAGTGATTGAAACTGATTTTGGCCTGCGCGTGACCTATGATCTCGCATACCATGTGCGGGTCACCATCCCAGGCAACTACTACCAGCAGATGTGTGGTTTGTGTGGAGACTATGATGGAGACCCCAAGGATGATTTCCAGAAGCCAGATGGCTCCCAGGCAACCAACCCCAGTGACTTTGGTAACTCCTGGGAGGAAGCTGTGCCGGACTCCCCCTGTGCACCGGTACCTCCCTGCGAAGGAGGCGACTGTGATGCTAAGTGCAGCCCTGAGCAGGAGGACAAGTATCATGGGGTGCAGTTCTGCGGGCTGCTCTCCAGCCCCACGGGGCCACTGGCTGACTGCCACAAGCTGCTGGACCCCCAGGGTGCCTTGAAAGACTGTGTCTTTGACCTCTGCCTGGGAGGCGGCAACCTGAGCATTCTCTGCAACAACATCCACGCCTATGTGAGCGCCTGCCAGGCAGCTGGAGGCAAAGTGGAACCGTGGAGGACGGAAACCTTCTGTCGTGAGTGGTGGACACTGAGGGCTGGGGAAAGCGAAGCTTGGGGAGCAGAATGGGTAGCCTCCCACCCCCACTCTTGTGCCCTAACCAGCATTCCCTCCTCACAGCAATGGAGTGCCCCCCTCACAGCCACTATGAGGTCTGTGCTGACACCTGCTCCCTGGGCTGCTGGGCTCTCAGTGCCCCACAGCAGTGCCCAGAAGGATGCGCTGAGGGCTGTGAATGTGACTCCGGCTTCCTGTACAATGGCAAAGCCTGTGTGCCTATCCAGGAATGTGGCTGCTACCACAATGGGGTCTACTATGAGGTGAGAACCCAGCCGTCTGTCCAGAGCCCAGGCCTCTCCCTGGACACGCCTCCCACTGCCCATTCAGCCTCTCGGACATCTCTCTGTTCGCTCTTCTGGTCCCAGCCCCGCAACCCTACTTTGCTCCATCTGTCCTCTCCCAGTCCCCAATTTTGCTTCCTTTGCTATGCCCGCCCCGTGATTGTGGAGAGATCTTTTAAAATGTGATCACAGGTCCTGAGGTTTTAAATCTGCCTTCCCCAGATCAAGACTTATCGTTGAATCCCAGATCTGAGCAGAGGTGTTTTTCCAGGTCATGAAGATGAGGTTTTGTTTGTCACACCAAGTGGTCACTCTCTCTGCTTTCCCGTCCTCCCCACAGGGAACTCTTGAGAGGGTGTTTGCTTAAGTCTGCCTCTCTTGCAAGAGTGAGGACTCTGAGGGCAGCGCTCTCTCTGAGAATGGTAACAGTCCTGGGAGCAGATGTATGCATGGTGCCTATCATGACCCCATTTTATTATGAGCATACATCACACACACACACACACCACACACACACACTACCCACACACTACCCACACACATCACACACCACACACACACACTACCCACACACACATCACACACACCACACACACACACACACACACTACCCACACACATCACACACCACACACACACACTACCCACACACATCACACACCACACACACACACATCACAACATACATCACACACATCACACACACATCTCACACACCACACACACACACACACTACCCACACACACATCACACACACATATCACACACACACATCACACACATATACACACACACTACACACACATCTCACACATGCACATCACATACACACACATCTCACACACGCACAACACACACACCCCACACACACATCACACACACACACACCCCACACACACATCACACACACACACCCCACACACACATCACACACACACACACACACACACACACACACACCACACACACAGCCTGCCTTCATATTATGGAAATTCTCAACTGTGCCTTTGCTGAGAGAATACTGGAGTGAATCACTGTATCCCTGTTCATTCATCACTTGGCTTCAAAGCCTAGCTTCATCTTTACTTACCTTCCCAAACCAGTCTGCATTGCTGAAGAGGTCCTTCTTTGGCTCCACCTCTACCTTACACATATTATTAACTCAGTTCTGTTTCCTCGCATTGGTCCCATTACTAGCTGTCACTTACAGATGAGGAAGCCAGCCGAGCACAAAGAAGTTGAGCAATGTTGTCCCATCACACTGCTCAGGGACAGTGGAACCAGGCTCAACCGGGCAATGTGTTCCAGAACTTTAGCTCTGACTACTTAACTCTGCTCCTCCTCCTCAGCAGCGGCAATTCAGTACATGAATGAGCAAATAAATGAATGAAAATTAATGAAGAAATGAGTGAACTGGGCCTCGACGCCACGCTGGGCCTCAGTTTCACTGGCAATGGACCACACTGCAGAGAGTTGCCACTTTGTGTACCCCAGTTCTCTCTGGGCCCGAACATTAGAGGTGGCAGGGTCGGCACCGCCCTCTGGCTACTGATGGCATGCTCTCTGTCCCCACAGCCAGAGGAGTCCGTTCTCATTGGAAATTGCCAGCAGCAGTGTGTGTGCCATGCAGGAGAAGGCATGGTGTGCAAGGAGCACAGCTGTAAGCCAGGACAGGTGTGCGAGCCCTCAGGAGGCGTCCTGGCCTGCATCACCAAAGGTACTGGGCAGCGCGGCTGGGCTGGTGTGGGGAGACACAGGACAGGGGCTAGGAGCTGAGGGCGCCATAATGTAATGGTGGGAGGTGCAGGGGGATTGAGGTGTCAGACCTTGGGCTGGGATTCCAGGAGCCAAGCACAGAGGTCATCCAGTCTGGGTGTCAAGGAACCTTAAGGGATTTGAGGCTGCGGGAAGCTCAGGGCAAGATTTTGAGGGTGCATGTCAGAGGCCCTGGGAAGACTGCAGGGCTGGTGAGCTTTTTCTCTCAAGGGTCCTATGGTTAATACTTAAGCTTGCAGGCCACACAGCTTTAAGCACAACTTCTAGCATCAACTTTTTATGATATAAAGCAACCAGAGACTGTGTAAGAAGGGACAGATGTGCAACACAGCTGTATTTGCAGCAATAAGCACCACGTGACCCCATGGCTTCTTGGGCACTGACCCATTGGATTAGGTGGGGTTTTGGACACCACCATTAAATGGCAGTTAGGATAAATCTGTCATTTTAATCTCCATCTCTCCGATGACTAAGGACACTGATCTTTTTTTTGTGTGTGTATTTGCTGGGAAAGCGGAGTTCAAAGGTCTCCTAGAGCACAGAGATACTGGGCCAAGGCAGAACTTTTCAAATGGGATTCAGAATTTCTGAGGGTTCTGTCTTGGAGGATTCCTAGTTTAAGGCTGGGGCTTAGGGCTTCCCTGGGAATGATTGCCTAAGGGGAGGGGCAGAGAATCCCAGAGGAGTGAAAAGTAGGAGCTGGGGACCAGAAGGCTGGGCTGAGACTCCAGGATGATAAACAGGACGGCAGGGGGTCCCGCAGGGGGTCCTGCAGGAGATGTGTAGTCTATGCAGTGCGTAGTGTGTTTGGGTAATGTCCCGGCTAGTGCGTTTGTCTGGCATTCACAAAGCTCTAGGTTCCCTCCCAGCACACAAAAGCACTGTTCGCTTTTTCTCTTTCTTTTCTTTTGTTTCAGTTGTTTGTTGGTTGGTTTGGGGTGCTTTTTGTTTGTTTGTTTGTTTGAGACATGCTTTCTCTGTGTAGCCCCGACTGTCCTGGTAGACCAGACCAGGCTGTCCTCCAACTCACAGAACTCTGTCTGCCTCCGGCAGCCCCCTGGAGTGCCAGAATTAAATGCATGCACCACCCGCACCCCACCCCAGCGCTCCCCACCCCTGAAGCATGCTTTTCTTTAGTTCTGTATTTCACCACATGTCTATTACAGAAAAGAGTGTTTGTGATGTCGCCCCAGACATCTCATTACCCTGTTACTCCTCTGTCCCCTCTCCCCCACTTTCCTGGTCTCTGTCAGCCCCCCCACACACACACACGCGACATCACTAATCACAGCCCCCCCACACACACACACGCGACATCACTAATCACAGCCCCCCCCCACACACACACACACGACATCACTAATCACAGCCCTATCTGTTTTCCTGAAAGTGACATGATCACATTCTTTATGACTAAGTGAAACCCCTTTGGGTATATGTACCACATGGCATCCCTTCGGCGATGGGCACCCAGACCAATCCCATCACATGGCTATTGTGAACAGAGCCACAGCCGTTGTTTTAAGTTAGAACAAGGATTTGGGCCATTTATTCACTGATTATTTGTGCCCTTCATTTGAAAAGTGCCTGCCCATATGCTCACTGGATTACTTACTCTCTTGTGTTTGTGTGTTTGTGTATTTATTACTTCTTTACATGATCTGAATACTAATCTCTTGCAGATTAGTGACTGACAAAGATTTTTCTGCATTCTGTGGGCTGACTCTTTTCTCTGTTCGTTGCTTCCTTTGCTTTGCAGAAGCTTTTAATTTCATGAAATTTTATTTCCCAATTCTTGCCATTATTACTGAGGTATTCAAAAAGCTGATGGCAATTCCTTGCGATTTTTTTCCCCACTATTTTCCTCTAGTAATTTCAAAATCTCAGGATTTGCATTAAGGTCTGTGGTCAATTTTAACTTGATTTTTGTACCAGGGGGGCAGGGAGAGGAAAAGAGAAGATTTCTGTCTTCTATATAAGGGAAGATGAGAAAGAGAAAACTTATTTGACCAAAGATAGTGAATTAAAAAGTAGAAAGAAAGGAAAGAACATTATAAATTAAGGGTTGGGGCTGGAGAGATGGCTCAGTGGTTAGGAGCATTGGCTGTTCTTTCAGAGACCCTGGATTCAGGATCCAGCACCCACATAGCAGCTGGAGAGAGACAGAGACAGACAGTGTCTGTTGTTTGTTCACTACTAAGACTTGAGCATGTTTCTGTCACCGCCCACTCAGAGGTTAGCTGCTCTCCCACTGTGCCTGGCTCATGTCTCAGAAATGATAGCATTTAGTGTGTGTGAGTCACCACCTCCCTCTCAGAATGCTTTCAGGTGAAGGGAACACAAAATCCACTACTAATCCCAAATGCTGGGGGGGGGGGGAGGCTGGGATTTAGAAGGTTCCCACCCTAAGCCTGCATCCAACCTCACTGGAGAAGACACCTCTGTAACCACCGGGTGGCAGAGGACCCTGCAGGTGGAGATGCAGGACGGAACCCTACCCCTACCCCTAAAGTGCTGGAAAATTCAGCTGGCAGCAGCCACCTACAGTGTAGGTGAGCAGCTAGAGAGCCTGTCACCTGTCACAGGCCCCACAGCACAGCAGCTGCTGGAAGAGCAGAGCAGGTTGTCAGGACAGGCAGGCAGACAGGCAGACAGACAGACTGACTGACTGACGCACGCACTCACACATGCACGCACGCACGCACCCTGCTGACAAAAGTTTCCAGGCTGATTTCAAACAGGAAACAAGACAGAGGAGCACGTTGGAAGGCTTCCCGCCCAGACAGGAAGCTGGAGCTACAGAGAGAGTGACATCAGTGAGGTATTGTGGGGGAAAGCCCTTGAAGACAAGAAATAAGATTCCTGGGGCCGGATACAGCACCCAGGAACGAGTTTTGCACTGTGAGATATTCAAGCCCAGAGACTTAGATATGGGGACCACAGGCATAAGATAGAAAAAGATAGAAAATTCCTGGACCCCCAGTGCTGGCTTCTCAGGGCCTGGTCTCACACACAGCAACTTCAGGGCCCAGGGCATGGTGTCAGGGCAGTCCTGCCTCATATCCCTAGCACAGGCTTAGGTGGATGCTGGGAGCAGCCATGCTTGTGCTGGGCAGCCTCTCAGCGTGTCTCTTCCCTCGCCACAGACCCATGTCACGGTGTCACTTGCCGGCCACAGGAGACCTGCAAAGTTCAGGGTGGGCAGGGCGTGTGTGTGCCCAACTACAATTCCACGTGCTGGCTGTGGGGTGACCCTCACTACCACTCCTTCGATGGCTGGAACTTTGACTTCCAGGGCACCTGCAGCTACCTGCTGGCAGGGACTGTCTGTCCTGGGGTCCATGCCGAGGGCCTGACCCCCTTTACTGTCACAACCAAGAACGAGAACCGAGGTAGCCCTGCTGTGTCCTATGTGAGACTGGTCACCGTGACCGCCCTCAACGTCAACATTTCCATCCACAAGAATGAGATCGGCAAAGTCCGGGTATGTCAAACACGATGGTCCCCAGGACACCCTGGGGCATGAGGCCAAGCGCACCCTGATATTAACAGCAGCAATTAGAGGCTGGAGAGTCTCAGTTTTCACAAAGACATGAAACCACGTGGGCAAAATTACAGGAAAGGGACTCTTCCTAGGAATTAAGCCAACCCTCTGCTAGCAGCTCTAAGTAGACCCATGATGTCTGCTGTCATTTAGACCAGGAGTTCTCAACCTTCCTAATGCCGTGACCCTTTAACACCGCTCCTCATGTGGTGACGCCAAACATACAATTATTTGTATTGCTATTTCATAACTGTACTTTTGATATTATTATGAATCATAATGTAAATATCTGTGTTTTCTGATGGTCTCCGGCAGTCCCTGGGAAAGGGACTTTTGACCCCCCCCCCAAAAAAAAGGGGTTGTGACTCACAGATTGAGAACTGATGGTATAGACCTAGATTTGAGACTAAGCCCCGGGGTAAGAGACATCTAGAACAGTGATTCAGAGAGGAGAGGGAAAGGAGGTTGACTCCATCTACCTCCCTCTCTCCAGGTGAATGGAATTCTGATGGCCTTGCCTGTCTACCTGGCTGGTGGGCAGATTTCGGTCGTTCATGGAGGCTCCAAGGCTGTGCTGGTGACCGATTTCGGGCTTCTGGTCACCTACGACTGGAATTGGAGGGTAGAGGTCACGCTGCCCAGTAGTTACCATGGTGCAGTGTGCGGGCTCTGTGGAAACATGGACAGAAACCCCCAGAATGACCAAGTCTTCCCTAACGGCACAGCGGCACCCTCTATACCCACCTGGGGTGGCAGCTGGCAGACTCCAGGGTGGGACCCTCTTTGCTGGAATGAATGCCAGGGCTCCTGCCCAGTGTGCCCAGAGGACCGACTGGAGGAGTATGAGGGTCCCGGCTACTGTGGACCTCTGGCTCCTGGCGCAGGGGGCCCCTTCGCCAGCTGCCACGCCCATGTACCTCCTGAGAGCTTCTTCAAGGGCTGCATGCTGGATGTCTGCCTGGGTGGTGGCGTCAAGGACATACTATGCCAGGCACTGGCTGCCTATGCTGCTGCCTGCCAGGCTGCTGGCATCCAAATCAAGGACTGGAGGACTCAGGCTGGCTGTGGTGAGTGGTGGGGATCAGGGCAAGCTCTGGGTGGCCCTACTCCCATACTTGCGGTCTTTCTGCTGTCTGTGTCTGTGTGCGTGGGTCCCCAGGTCATCGTCTCTCTGTCTGTCTCTCATGCCATCTCTCTCCATTGTCTCAGCTTCCCTCCCTGACTGTGTCTCCGCATCTGTAAGTCTCCCCTTCCCCTCCTGTCCCTGCTGGTGTTTCTGCCCACTCTGCCCCCAGAGGCCACTCTAACGCCATCCTTCATCTCTCTCCTTCCCTTCCTCCACCCACAGAGATCTCCTGCCCTGACCACAGCCACTATGAGCTCTGCGGCCCACCCTGCCCAGCCAGCTGCCCACCCCCTTCACGCCACACAACCCCAGCTGCATGCGACGGGCCCTGTGTGGAGGGCTGCCAGTGTGACCAGGGCTTCGTGTTGAGTGCTGAGCAGTGCGTTCCCCTAGATGGCGGCTGCGGCTGCTGGGTCAACGGCACATACCATGAAGCAGGCACTGAGTTTTGGACTGATGCCACCTGCTCTAAGAGGTGCCACTGTGGACCTGGAGGTGACTCTTTGGTCTGCACGCCTGCCAGCTGTGGGCTGGGACAGGAGTGTGCCTTGTTGCCCTCTGGCCAGATCGGCTGCCAACCTACAAGCACAGCTGAGTGCCAAGCCTGGGGTGATCCCCATTACGTCACCTTAGATGGGCACCGGTTTGACTTCCAAGGCACCTGCGAGTACCTGTTGAGTGCACCCTGCCATGCACCACCCGCAGGGACCGAATACTTCAATGTCACTGTGACTAATGAGCACAGGGGCAGCCAGGCTGTCAGCTATACCCGAAGTGTCACCCTGAATATCTATGGCCTCAGCCTGACCCTCAGTGCCCAGTGGCCAAGACAGCTACAGGTGAGTGGGCTGTGGCTCATGAAGCCTCTGCTGTACAGGAGAGAATGAGGGATGGACCATTCCCCAAAGCACCTTTCCCAGTGTGGCAGGACCATGATATGATGCTGGGTTCAGCCTACAGCCTGTGGGACCAGGCAGGCTGGAAGCAATGGCTTACCCGGGCTTAGCCTTCCATTACTCCTCTGTACGGTGGACTGCCGGAAGTGCCTACTTCACGGTGGCACAAAGAACCAGTGCCATGGTCCGAAGAGGGTGGATCACTTCTGTGAATTCAGCTCTCAGAGACTGAGGGAGGAGGGTTGCGGAGACTTGCCGAAGCCTAGCCTACAATAGGTGTTCTTGTTAGAGGAGGCAACAAGAATATAAACAGAAAGAGCCCATGGCTCCACATCTTGTTCCTCTTACAATAGCAGGGGCAGTATCTTATAAGAGGTGGGAGCATGCAAAACTGCCACTGCCTCTCAGCTCTCGCCCTCTCCCCATCCCGCAGGTGAACGGCGAATTCGTTGCTCTGCCCTTCTACCTGGACCAGCGACTGAGCATTTACCTAAGTGGAGCAGATGTAGTGGTGAACACTGCTGCAGGGCTCTCCCTGGCTTTTGATGGCAACAGTTTCGTGCGCCTGCGCGTGCCCGCAGCCTATGCAGGCGCCCTCTGTGGCCTGTGCGGGAACTACAACAAAAATCCCAAAGATGACCTGGCAGCAGTAGATGGGAAACCTGAGGGCTGGAAGGTGGGCGGAGCCCCCGGCTGTGACAAGTGTGAGCCTGAGCCTTGCCCACAGCCCTGTACACCTGAGCAACAGGAACCCTTCCGTGGCCCCGACGCCTGCGGCATCATCTCGGCCCCCGAAGGCCCGCTAGCGCCCTGCCACAGCCTCGTGCCACCCGCGCATTACTTTGAGTCATGCTTGCTGGATGCCTGTCAGGTTCAGGGACATCCAGGAGGTCTCTGTCCTGCCCTGGCCACCTATGTGGCAGCTTGTCAAGCTGCTGGAGCCCAACTTGGAGAGTGGAGGAAGCCAGACTTCTGTCGTGAGTACTTGCCCCGTGCAGCTCCACACAGACAGGGTCTCTCCCAGCCCTTTCCAGGAGCTCTGTTACTTGACCTCAAGGTCCATCCCCACCACCTGCTGTCAGAGATACACCCAGTACTAATAATGAAAACCACCAGTGGGGTAGGGAAGGACCCAGTTACACACCCAAAGTCACAAAGCCTGGGTGCACACACTCTGGGAGGTTCTGCTAGCAGACTTGAATATGATAGTGTCAGTTACTCTGCAAGAAACCCATCAGCCAAGTGACTGATACCGGGTCAGAGGTCCCCGGAGCATCTCCCACACTGGACTATAACTGCACACATGGAGATGTTCAGATAGCCAAATGGTGTCTGGAGAGACCATACACCGCCTGTCACACATTGGTGAGACATCAGACACCCTCAGCTGGAATCTGGACCTGTCCCAGGCAGATCCAAGCAGACTGGATCAGGAGGTGTGGGGCAGCAGATCTGCTGGGTTAGGCCCACCCCACCCCAATCACAAACACCCTGGCAGAGTTGCACCCTGAGACGGAGGGTGTCCGAGGGAACAGTGGGCGCTCCGGTCATGTTAACACGGTCTTCACTCTCTTCAGTCAGGCTGACTGATCTCCCACACATGGGTGCCTGGTCACACACACACCCCGATATAGCCATGGCCAGTTCTAGTCTGCTCTGATCAGATGCATGTGGTCATATACCCCAGACAGTCACTTAGAAGTACTCGTCAGGATGACACACCCTTCTCAGGGAGACCTGGTCTCACCCCCCACCCCTGAGACTCCAAATCAGTGCCCCTGTTATGCGTTCTACATCAAGTCCCATGCCAAGCCAGGGGCACTGGGAAATCTCAAGCGGGCTCCTACCCACAAGCCTTTCTGCTCTTCCCTTTGCCTCTGCCTGACTCTTCCTTGTTCTGTCCCCACAGCCCTCCAGTGTCCTGACAACAGTCACTATGAGCTCTGTGGTGACTCCTGCCCTGTGAGCTGCCCAAGCCTCTCGGCCCCCAAGGGCTGTGAAACCACCTGCCGTGAGGGCTGTGTCTGTAATTCTGGCTTTGTGCTCAGTGGCGACACCTGTGTGCCTGTGGGCCAGTGTGGCTGCCTCTACAATGGACGCTACTACCAGCTAGGCGCTACATTCTACCCAGGCCCTGAGTGTGAGCGGCTCTGTGAGTGTGGGCCAAACGGGCAGGTCACCTGCCAGGAAGGTGGAAGCTGCAAGCCCTATGAGGAATGCCGGGTAGAGAATGGCGTTCAGAGCTGCCATCCCACAGGTTGTGGTCACTGCCTGGCCAATGGGGGCATCCATTATGTCACCCTTGATGGACGGGTGTATGATCTTCACGGCTCCTGTTCCTATGTCTTGGCCAGTGTCTGTCACCCGAAACCTGGAGATGAGGAGTTTTCCATTGTGCTGGAGAAGAACTTGGCAGGTGACCCCCAGCGAGTGGTGGTTACCGTATCAGGACAGGTTGTGATCCTGGCTCAAGGGCCGCAGGTGAGTGGACACAAACCTGTCTAGAGTTATGGTAGGGACATGTCCCCACCTTGACCTCACCCTATCGTGACTCGGTAGGCCTCGGAAAGCTCCAGAGTATGGGACTAGCACAGCCCTACCCTGAAAGTTCTGGGTGTGTGGGTGAAGGTCTCACCTCAGAGGCGATTGTAGTCATGGCCCCAACCTGGGAGTTTAACAGGACCTGATTTTAGCCCAGAAGGGAACTAGCTCTTCCAAGAAGGTCTGAGATAGGCAACACTCCATGCAGGAGCTATGAGTGTGTGCCTTAAACCGAGGTGCTACCCCCTCTCCCTAACTGACCCTTCCATCCAGGTGACTGTGGATGGTGAAGCTGTGACCCTGCCCGTGACTAAAGGCCATGTGAGTGTGACTGCTGAAGGCCGAAACATGGTTCTGCAGACAGAGCAGGGCATGAAGGTTCTCTTTGATGGTGATGCCCACATCTTCATGTCCATCCCCAGTCCCTTCCGTGGACGTATCTGTGGCCTCTGTGGCAACTTCAATGGGAACTGGAGTGACGACTTTGTGCTGCCCAATGGAGCCGTGGCCCCCAGCGTGGAGGCCTTTGGAGCTTCATGGCGAGCTCCTGACTCCTCCCCGGGCTGTGGCGAAGGCTGTGGGCCCCAAGGCTGCCCTGTGTGCTTGGCGGAGGAAACACAAGCATATGAGAAAAACGAAGCTTGTGGGAAGATCCGGGACCCCAAAGGCCCCTTTGCAGAATGCCACCAGGTTCTGAGTCCCTTGGAATACTTCCGCCAGTGCGTGTATGACCTATGTGCCCATAAGGGCAACAAAACATACCTCTGCCGTAGCCTGGCAGCCTACACTGCAGCCTGTCAGGTAGCTGGTGCAACCGTGAAACCCTGGAGGACAGAAAGCTTCTGCCGTGAGTGTCTGGGGACCCCTCTTGGGACCTCCTGGGACCTGGGGAAATCCTGCCTGTGACAGGGCCTCCCCCCAGCCCTGCCCTGGCATCTGCTGTGGCATTCCCACGTCACTTGTGGCTCGGGGGTCTCAGATTCCAGTCAAGAGTCCACTCCCCCAGACCTCACGCCCACCCCTTCCCAGGGCTGCTCCCAGCTTTCTGTGGTGATCTGGACGGATTGAGAGCCCATGAGAGTCCTGAGCTGACCCCTCCCTCAGACTCTGGCTCCTTGCACATTTTCAGGGCAAGTCCACAGCCGATAGCCCCCAATCCAGGGCCGCACACCTCCTTCCAGTTTGCAGGGCAGGAGCAAGTCACATCAGATTCTGCATGAGAAAGCTGTGGCCAGTGATGTTTGTTCCGTGACAGAGCCATTTCTCCTTCAGTCTCCTGAGAACAGGACCTAGACCCAGGGCATCCTCCTCTCCATAGTGTAGCAACTGCCCCAGACACCATCTCCAGCTATGGGCTTGCTCCTGTGTATCCATGGCCCCCTGGGTACTCTAGTCTGGTGATTCTTAGATCTGAATACAACATTTCATCCCAAACCTGACCCTTCTTCTCTATTCCAGTGCCCATTTGATGACAGCCAAGCCACCCTCGTGTTATTTAGAGAGTCCAGAACTTTGCCTGTCTTCCTGTTGTCCTTGCCTCAACCCTCTGCCTATGCTTCCCCGCCCCATTCAAGCCTCTACCTGATTTTCCCAAGGAACCATGAGCCATGGCCATGTGAGCTGTAGCCGTTGATCTGACTGGATGCGAGCTCTTTAGCATGGGCTCTTCAGCACTTGAGTCCCCTGCAGGGCTTTGTACTGCGGCAGATGCTCGCAAGAATCAGTTTTTGAGGATTTATATTGGCTCAAGGTGTCAGACACTTCTGTTCAAGGTGACTGGATGCACCTTTGGGTCTGAGGTAGGACAGGGTTGCGGCAGAGACAGGCACCAAGATCAAAGCAGGGAGCAGGCGATAGAGATAAGGCACAGTCTAGCTGATCTATTTTCTTCAACCAAGCCCAGCCTCCAGAAGTATCCATCATTCCTCAGTAATGCCATAAAACTATGTATCCATCAGTGGATTAGCCATTGATAAGGCCAGAGTGTTCATGACTCAATTACCATTCAATGACTGATCCACCAAGGAGACCAAGTCCTCTCTATATGAGTCTTTGGGGAGAACTGTTCATCTCCAAACCGTTACATCCCACCACCACCCCCGCCGTCCCAGCAGACTCGTATCTGCATCATAGTGAAAACTGGGTCCAGTCCATCTCCAAGACTCCCCAAAGCCTTGATAGTCCCCACGTTGCTTAAATGCCCAAGTCTTTTCCAAGACTCAGTGCACACCCTTCGATGTGAGCCTCTGCAAACAAACAAACAAAATACAATTACAAATTTCCAACATCCAGTGGTATAATGGAGTGCACATTCCTGCAATGAAAGGGAAGATTGGACACATATAAGGGAAAGATGGGACCTCAGTAAGATCTAAACCTAGCAGGGAAATATTGGCACTGTGTGAGCCCCAAAGAGCCAGGGGAACCCCTGCCCTGTAGGCCTTCCTCGCCAGCTACAGGCCCTTTAACCTCTCCGCTCCTCCTCCTCCTTTTTCCTCTTCTTCCTCTTCTCTTTCTGCATCTGCTTCCTCCTTCCACCTTATTCTTCCTGCTCCTTCTTATGCCTTCTCCTCTTCCTCCTCCTCCTTCTTTGTCTTTTGGTTGTTTGAGACAGGGTTTCTCTGTAGCCCTGGCTGTCCTGGCACTCACTCTGTAGGTCTGGCTGGCCTTGAGCTCAGAAATCCCCCTGCGTCTGCCTCCCGAGTGCTGGGGTTAAAGGCGTGTGCTGCCACCCCTCCCACACACACACCCAGTTTTCTCTTTACTTTCTGCCTGCTGTCCTCCACACTCTACTTTCCCTAACTCTCTGGCACCCTCAACTTCATCCTCACAGCTCCTGCCTCACCCCCTAGGGGCCCCACATTGACATCCTATCCTTGCTAAAGACTGCCTGACCCCCAGTTTTTAATCTGGATGGACCCTTGCACTGTCCACTCCCACAAACTCCCTTCATGCAGATGACTTCAGCATCTGTCACCAACTCACGCAGCCATCAGCAGCCAGCCGTCAGCCTCGCTTGACAATGAAGTGATCTCAGTGCCTGGGAGGGTTTCCTCAAGGGAGGAGTCTTGCAAGTCCACACTTCCCCTCTTCAGGTTATGAGAGCCAGGTCTTGAAGGTTCCCAAGACATCTGCAAACCGTGGTTCCTGTTGTCCAAGTTCAATGTTCCTGGCTTCATGCTAGTACCTCTGATCTCATTAGAAGCCAGCCGTCAAATATTTGTGCTCTGATTTTGTTCTTGATACTGACTATAAACCGGTCCTAAACCAGCCAGGAACACCATGCTATAGGCAGAAGGCTATGCAGCCTTGCTGTCCACTGGTAGGTTAATTAGATTACTTCCTTTATCTTAAACGTCTCAGGACATACACAAAACACAGACAAATCCCAGTTTCCACCCAAAACCTCTCAAGCATACTATCTGAAACCTGTCCACCTTCTGCTCCGAGCTCACACCGCAACTCTCATGAGGTTCTCCTCACGGCGCTCCAGGTCTAGATGGTCTCCTTCTCCCAACACCTCCCAGAAACCACTCCCAATGACAAACATGTGAGCCACACAGCCAGAAACAGTCACAGCAACGTCTCAGCGTCTCCTTGACAACGTCCGTGTTAGTTTCTCCTGGCTGCGAGAAATACCTGGACACCCCATGAGGAGGGTGGCTTTGTTCTGGTTTCTGGTCACACAGTTTCTGTGTGGGGATGACTTGTCTGTTCATGGGGCCTCTGCTGAGACTGACCATGGCAGGGAGAACATGGCCAGCAGAGCTGCCCGTTACATGGTGGCCAAGAATCAGGAAGAAAAGAAAGCCAGGGGTAAGATAGAACCCTAGTGACCTACATACGACAACCAAGTTTTCTCACCTGAATAGCCTGGCAGTACTCCGTTCAAATCATGAGCTCACTGACTAGATCAGCTGCTGGAGATCAGGGGCAGGTACTTCCCATCCAGACTACAGCAATCACTCATCCCAGGCCCTGAGATTCAGCAGATTCAGGGTGTCAACGTCCTACAGCACATGTGACCTACCTTGTTACCTCCTCTCCCTACAGCTCTCCAGTGTCCTGCGCACAGCCACTACTCTGTCTGCACACGCTCCTGCCAGGGCTCTTGTGCTGCACTCTCTGGCCTCACTGGCTGCACCACTCGCTGCTTTGAAGGCTGTGAGTGTGATGATCACTTCCTGCTCTCCCAGGGTGTGTGCATCCCTGCCCACGACTGCGGCTGCACCTTCAATGGCCAGTACATGCCGGTGAGCAGGGACTCCAGCGGGCAGCAGGGGTGGAGGAGCTGGAGGGACATTCGGAGCCGCTGTGCTCTGGGTTTCTGTTCAAGGACTGGGACACAGGGAGCCACCACCTGTTCCCAGCTGTGCCGGCTGTACCGAGTCACCCCACACTGGCCAGGTCAAAGCAAGAGAGCTTATTTCCCCTGCACTTCTGGAGGCCAGGAGTCAAGGATCAGGCTCACTGCACTAAAGGCAAAACTATGGAAGGCTGGCTCTGCCTTAGCAGGCTCCGGAGGGACATCTACTCCTTGTGTCTCCCACCTCTGGTGACCTCAGTCATTCCTTGGTTTAGCCACACCACTCCGACCTCTGCCATCACTTCTCTGGGTGACATGACATCTCCCTGTATAGTTCTTTTTATCAGTGTCCCTGGGACTCCCCACCTAGACAATCAGGATAAATTCTCCATCTAAACAGCACTCATCACACTGCAAACACACGTTTCCATTTAAGGTAGCATGCCTGGTCCCAGGAATTGGGAATTGCTGTCTTTTGGTGTGGGGGCATTCCTCCACTACCCTCCCCTCTCTGAACTCCTTCACCTGCAGAATGGCTGAGTCAGCATCCTGGCTCCATAGACATTTGATGCTCAGGACAGTTGGTACCCAGTGAGCACCGACTTCACCCTCCTATGCCTCACATTCAGCAAAAAGAATAGAATCTACACTAGTGCAGTGGGTTGCTCAGCTACCAATCATTCCACAGTGCAATCTGGGGTTTAATAGTTAATTTATCCTTGTTGGTACTTTTTTAAAAAAAAATATATATGTATACATACATATATATATAATTTTTTCTTATTTTACATATCAATCCCAGTTCCCTCTCCCTCTCATGCCCCCTGAACCTCCCTCCCCCCCACTCCACAGGAAGGGCGATACCTTCCAGGAGGGATCATCAAAATCTGTCAAGTCATTTGGAGTAGGGTCTAGGCCCTTCTCCTGCCTCTAGGCTAAGGGAGTATCCCTCCATGGGGAATGTGTTCCCAAAGTCCTTTCCTGCACCAGAAATACATCCTGGTTCCACTGTCAGAGGTCCCTTAGATTGCCCAGGCCTTCTAACTGAGACCCATGTTCAGGGGGTCTGAGTTTATTCAATGCTGGTTTCCCAGCTATTAGTCTGGGGGGTCCATTTGCTCCCCTTGTTCAGGTTTCTGTGGGTTTCTGTAGCCTGGTCTTGACCCCTTTTCTTATCAATCCTCCCTCTCTGCATCTGGATTCCTGGAGTTTAGCTCAGTGTTTAGCTGTGGCTGTCTGCTTCTGTTTCCATCAGCTACTAGATGAGAGCTCTATGATGGCAGATAAATTAGATATCAATCTCATTGTCAGGGAAGGGCATTTAAGGTAGCCTTTCCACTGTTGCTCAGATTGTTAGTTGGGGTCATCCTTGTAGGTCTCTGGACTTTCTCTAGAGTCAGTTTTCTCTTCAAACCTATAATGTCTCCCTCTATTATGGTATCTCTTATTTTTGCTCTCATCTATTTGTCCCTCAACTCAATCTTTCTGGTCCCTCATGTTCTCCTCCCCTTCCCTTTCTCCTAGCTCCCTCTCCACTCACTGCCCCCCACTCCCCATATGCTCAGGAGATCTTGTCCCTTTCCCCTTCTGTGAGGGGCCTTGTATGAATCTCTTAGATTCCTCCTTGTATCCTAGTTTCTCTGGCGGTGTGAATTGTAGGCTGGTGATCCTTTGCTCTAGGTCTAAAATCCATATATGAGTGAGCACATTCCATGTTCCTCTTTTTGTGACTTGGTTACCTCACTCAGGATGGTTTCTTCAAGTTCATCCATTTGCCTGCGAATTTCAAGATTCCATTGTTTTTTTTTTTTTCTGCTCAGTAATATTCCATTGTGTAAATGTACCACATCTTCTACTTTTCCAAAGCTCTTTGTGTGCATAAGTCATTTCAAACGTTACCTCATCTTGTAGTCATACCCAGCAAGATAGATATGATTGCTGTTCTTCCCGTTTTATGGAGAAATTGTTCCTAGACAGTGTAAGCCAATTGCAAAGGGAGCCAATCTTCTGTCTTCCTTCGGGTCTCACTGTTTCCCGGAAGCCATCCAGGGTCCCCTAAGTTACATCCTCACAACCAGCTATGCTCCTCATCCCGGTGCCTGCCCCCTCTTTTACCTTATAGCCTATTCCTAAGTAGGCATCTACCTACACCTCTTAATCTCCCATTTAAAAATAAGGAAATTTACTCATAGGACACAGATGACAATTATCAAAGCCAGGAAAGTAATGTTGGCTCAACACTATTATCTAATCTGTAGATTTTAACCATACTTCACCAGTTGTTCCAGTAAAGTCATCTATAGCAATCACTTCTCTCTGGGCCAGGGGCCAACCGAGGGTCAGACTCTGCATCGCCTTCACAATGTCTGATGACAGCAGCAGGGAATGCGGGCAGGTGGGAGAGAAAACTGTCCGCAGAGCCTAGGGCCAGAGAGTTGGGGTTTGTGAGAGGTGAAGGAGCCTGCGACAAGGGCATGGAGAAGGGGCAGCTGGTGAGGGAAAGAGACCCGGGAAGGTTCATGTGTTGTTGGGGTGAGTCCTCCAGGGGCCACCACATGGACACACCCAAAGCTAATATCAAAGTCTTCATTGTCAGCCAGCATCTGCGTGGGGCACTTGTCCAAATCACGTAGCCCCGGGTCTTACAGCCCCATGTCCCTTTTATGGACTAAAATCAATACTTCAGTTAGCAAGAAACAGAACTACAGAAGCAAAAAAATCAAGGTTAGTACATTTAGAGGCTTTTCTGGAACTATGGACCAGGTCTTTGATGGATTAGGTCTTTGTTTCCATTTTGGCCGATGCTGGTGCCTTCATGCTAGGTTTTAAGGTCAGAATGGGGTCTCTAACATGGTATCTGTTACACATGTAAATGCATTCCTAGGACAGTGTCCTCTGTGCTGTCACCATCAGTACACTATGAGGATGCACTGGCCACCCTTGAATATAAAGTCAGCTTGTGCAGTGTTACAAACTCACTTCTAATGTGTTGTTTGGACCAGTTTTATCTGTTTTCATAACCACGTGTCTCCAGTATGGGCCAAGGATTCTGCTGTCTCCTCTCTTTGCTGCTGTGTGTTATACTCATTTGATGGGTCCCATGAAGTTTGTTTAGTTTTAGACTCTTGTATTTGCTTCTTACAGCTTTGTTGCTGTAAGAAAACAGCTAATGCATGTCACTTCATGGAGAGAGTGGGTTTATGAAGCTCACAGTTCTGGAGGCTAGAAGTCTAAAGAGCACTCAAGATGCAGGCTCTCATGAAGTCCCCTCTGCATGATACCATGGCAGGAGCATGTGCCTGCCTCCATCAATATGTGACCCCTCCCTATCCTTTAAACGCCACCATGTTTCAATCTTGGGAGTTCTACCTTGGTGACTTTGTCATCTAATTACCCCACAAAGTCCTCATGTCTAAGCATGAAGTTTCCATCCTCTTCATACTTGACTCTTTGAAGAATAAACTCTCCCATGGGTTCAGGTAGACATGTCATATGCAGACCATAACACATAGCTTGAGCCAGTAACCTTATCTCCAATGGGGTCTTTCATTCTCTAGTTGGCTTACCTCAGGCTTGTTCTCACAGTGACAGCACAATCTGAGACAGAGTGGGGATGGAGTGGGCTACTTAGCCTCTGAAGGCCAAAGACGCTACCATTGGGTGGAGGACACACTCTTTCTTACCGGGAACTTCTACAGGCTCCCCGTGTGAACGCACACCACCCACCCCTTTCCGTACACAGGTGAACACCTCATTGATGACCTCAGACTGCCAAGAACTCTGTTGCTGCTCTGCAAGAACCGGACTGACATGCCACGCGGCTGGCTGCCCATCTGGACATGTCTGTGAGCTCCAAGGAGGAGTCCGGAACTGCCAGGCTGCCCGTGGTCTTTGCTCCATCTCTGTGGGGGGCAACTTTACCACCTTCGATGGGGCTCACAATGTCATCAGCTCCCCTGGTACCTATGAGCTTTCTTCTCGCTGCCCGGGACTCCAGGAGACTCTGCCCTGGTACCGTGTGGTTGCTGACGTCCAGCCTTGCGGTGGCAATGACAAGGTTGTGGACAAGTTCCACATCTTCTTCCAGGATGGAATTGTGACAGTGACCCAAAGCAAGGGCGTGTGGGTAAGCCTGGGCACAGCGGGCATGGATGTCTTCCCTGGGCTTTCCTTCTTCCTGTCACGGTGGCCCACATCCTGGCTACCCAATGGCCTTGCAGTCTGTTTCCTTCATCCAGATCTCTGGACTGTTTCTGGATTTGTACCTGCCTCTATAGGCATTTTCTGGATTCGTACCCACCTGCACAGGCTTTTTCTGGATTTGTACCTGCCTCTACAGGCCAGCCCAGGTCCTTCTCCTTAGCCTGAGTTCTTACATTCAAGTAACAGCACAGCTTTGCTATTGGTCTTAACGAAGCCACTATTGAATACAAATTGCCCTAGGGAAAAATGAATGGACTGGCTCCCTAGCTGGGGAACCCAGAGATGGCCTCAGCACCCCAACTACACTGTCAGGAGTTTCCACCTCTAGGTTTACCACTTGATTAGCTCCATTCCCAGAGAGCTTTCTTATTCAGGGGCAAAGATAACCAGTGTCTGCCCCAGGCCGATAGTCTGCCATCCTTGTTACCTTAGCACAAAGTGATCCAATAAAAGTCCCCCATGGTGCATCTCACTAGGCTATAGTCCCACTCCTGGAATTAATCGCTGTGGTCCTAAGCTTAGAATGCTGTGATTGGCCAGGCTGGGGTCACATGTCAGGATCCCCCCTGAGCCATTCTCAGGGAGGCACCATGATTCCCTCAGAGGAGTCGGCATATAGTTGTGCTAATAACCAAGAAAGACACAGGGCAAAACCAGCCAGAGGGGAGAGGCCACCCAGTGCAATCCTAGGGACACAGGTGCTGGCTCCCTAGAGTACTCCACTGGACGCACAGAGTCCTCAAATCCTCCAGCAACAGCCATGACAAAGCCTGGGAAATATCTTCAGGGAAGTTCATGTAAGCATCACTTCAAGTTTCCAACGATGCTGGTTACATTGGCACTGTCTGCCTAGCAGGAACAAAAATGGCTCCCACCATTGTCGTCATGAGCGACCAGTCCAGATCACTGCTTCTTGCCAGTACCTAGATCACAGCCTGGTAGCCTGGAGCCTGGAGGTGCCTACCAGGAAATCTTGCCTTTGGGGAATAAACTCAGTGCTTCTCAAGGCCCTGTGCTGGGTCACGGATAAGACACAAGCACTTTTTACTGCAAAGCTTGCAGCCAGGAAGACTTGCTATCCTCTGAGTCTCTATGTGTCCTTTTGTACCCATCCTTTGTTCTCCTCTCCCTTCCAGCGCTATATCCACTCACTCATTGACCCTCCATCCATCCATCCATCCATCCCTCTCTCCCTCCCTTCCTTCCTCCTTCCACCACCCTTCTGTTTTCTGAGGTCTGTATGTCTTTCCCACCTATATATCTATGTTTCCCAGTTATGTGGGGGAGAGCCTCGAGTGATTAACACCTGAGAAAGACTGGGAACATCTTTCCAAGAAGGTTCACCAGGAAATCTAACATCAGAAAGCTCAGTCCATCGAGGAGGAGAACAGACAGAAGTTGGGAAATGATCCCAAGGCAGCTGGGTCTGCAGCCTCGGATAAGAAACTGGACATTTCCTGCATGGTTATTATGTTGCAGGGATCATTATCTTTATTCAGATACAAGCCCTACAAGAGGAGCTGATACAGTTGCTTTTGCTGGAGATCCAACTACTTATACACAACCTGGAGGGTCTTTCACTTTAAAAAGCTATGATTTAATAGTTTACATCTGGGATTCATGGTTTGCTTATTTGTCTGGTGAAGAATGTTTCACACCACAGTTGGAAAAGTTGATCCATGTTACCACCCCTCTCTATCTTTATCAGCATATACAGAAAGATATTCTGCAAAGATTAGTAAATTGCTATTGGCCAGTGAAATAAGTTAGTGGAGAAACAAGTCACCAAGCCTGATGGGACCTGAACTTGATCCCTGAAACCCACACAGTGGGAGGTGAGGACCAACCCCCACAAGTTGCCAACTGACCTCCACATTTATATCAGGGCATGAGCATGCACATAAATTAATTAATTGTATATTAGAGCAGCATCAGCATGCACAGCATCTGTGTGTGGGCACGTCTCCAGCTGTCTTCCCACCTGTGCACCTTCTGTAATACCCTCCTCTCCAGGGCCCGCCCCTTTGTTTGAATTGCTATTGTGCACGAGGACTCCAGCCTTGGTGGTCCCTCAGCTCTTCTGTCACTCAAGTCTCTCTTCTTCATTATCCCCTACACCAGGTGAACGGTCTCCGAGTGGACCTCCCAGCTACTGTGTTAACCTCTGTGTCTGTGCGGAGGATGCCCGATGGCTCCGTGCTTGTCCACCAGAAGGCGGGGGTCCAGGTCTGGCTTGGAACAGACGGGCAGCTAAATGTGATGGTCGGTGATGGCCATGCAGGCATGGTGTGTGGGGCCTGTGGAAACTTCGATGGGGACCAAAGCAATGATATGCTTGACTCTGAGGGGAAGGCACCAATGGAGAAGTGGGAGGCACAGGACTTCTCCCCATGGTGAGGATAGAGAATTGGGGACTGGGGAAAGAGGCAGTGTGGGTGGTGCTTAGCCTGCAGGATGAGTTGCTAAGTGTCTGTCTCTTGCAGTTCCAACTGATCGGTCATCGCTGACAAAGGACACTTCAAGACCTGCCTCTTCCAGAAGTTACAGTGATTGAAGGATGCCCTGTGTGTCTCTTCCCTGCCCCTCCCCTTTGCTGAGCCACCGAGGCCAAATCTGAAAGCATCGAGTAAATACCTAGACCCAAGTTGTGTGTCTGCCTCCTGCTGTCTCCCCCAGCGTCGTCCCCACCGAGGGAGACATGGATGGTGGTGCGTCTCTATCAGGGGAGGACGGGTGGCTGCACGTGTGGGTGCACGAGCAGATGAAGAAGCAGAGGGGCGGCCAGAGTCGGGGAAGGACTGGGGAGACTGGGAGTCACAGAGAAAGGTGACTGGAGGGGTGGATGGATGAAACCACGGATGACTGGATGGGGGAAGAAGGGGGAGGGGGAGAGACAGAGTCTAGCGTTACCATTTACAAGCCCAGCGAGTTGCCTGCTTCCTCTCTGACTTGGTTTCATCACCTTTAAATAGAACAAAGGCCAGTATTTTCCCATAGAGTTGGAGTAAGGCTTTAATACCTGAGTCCAATCCACAAGGCAAAAATGAGTAGAGAAGCTGATGGAGGACACTGAAAGCTACAGACTAAGCAGAAGGGCGTGTCAAACGCTGCTGCTGTAAAACGACAGAAAATGCACCATGGAGGTCTTTTGTGACTCAGGGTCAACTGGCAGAAGGGAAAGCTTTGTTGGAATGAGTCCAAGAAGGAGAGATGAAACAAGGCAGCACGTGCAAAATTCCTTTTGAGGAGTTTTATTATGAAGTCGCTAGAGAGGTCCCGCACTATCCCTCTACATTCAGCCTCTGGGGGCCCAGGACAGGAGAGCTGGAGTTGGTTTACAATCTGAGGATGTGAGGAAGGCGTGTGATGATGAGGGGTGGGGATCTGGATGGGTGCTGAGGGCAGTGTAATCATAAAGAGGCGCAGGACTAGAGATGAGTCATGCCTTCTCAGCAGGCTGGGGACCCTGGGCCTGTTACCAACACCACTGAATTCCCATCATAAAGCGTAAGTGTGACGATGGGGTTGACAGCTTGGCTTGAGGATGTGCTCACTGAAGAAAAGGAAAGCAAGGTACTGAGAAGCCACCGTGTTCATGGGATCTACTTGAATTTGGAGAAGAATCATGATTGGAGGAGTGTTGGGAGAGCTTGGGAGTTAGCGATGCTGATTATAGGGATGGGAACACGGCTTCCAGTATGCCTGTGGACTTCAGGGTTAGAGGTTAAGGGACAAGGGAGCAGTGTACTGCAACAATGCCTGCAGGGTACTGAAGAAGACGGGCTGGGAGTCTTAGCCCTTCCCTCTGGGCAGTGAGCATGAGGGAGGAGTGGGGGTAAACTGTTACAACTTGGCAGGGCAGGATGGAAAGCTGTCCTCAAAGGAGAGCAAGGGCTGGTTAGGGCCGAACAGGAAAAGAGGCTGCAGACCGTGCTACTGTTTGGATACAAAATGTTGCTCCAACTGTTGCATGTTCATGGCTCAGCCTCAAACACGTGCTCAGGGGCAGCCTTTGGGCAGGTGACTCTGTTACTGCACTAGAGAGTTCCCCGTTTCCTTTCCTCTCAAAAGAAAGAATTCAGCCAAGAAACTGTATCACTTTAAGCTGGAGTGTGTTTGGCAAAACAAAGTGATGATTCACCCCTGAGAGCTTAGCGTGGGCCACCTGAGATAGGGACAGCAGCAAGAGATCACAGATTTGCTCTTCTTGTAAGAGGTTTTTGTGAATATATATGAGATAAGCGATATGAAATATGAATATATATGAGATGTATCCATGAGAATAAGGTGACCTTTTTTCTGTTCCAACGGTGCACCAGTTCATCCTTTTAAGGTCCCCCCCCCACATGATTCTCTTGAAAAGCTCTGGGGATGCAGAAGGACAAAGTTTCAATGCAAATTGTATTATAAGGAAGCCAGGGTCTTTTGACTATGCAAACCCTCCACTAGTGAGCAGTTGGGAAATTCCTGGAAATCTCTGCTTTTGATATAGCGGGAAGAATAGCTGTAGCTTCAAGGATGTTCTATCAGCAAGGGGCACTTTTGATGATCAAAAGCCACAGCCTCCAAGATACAGCTGTAGTTTCTTCTAACATGTCTGACCCCCTTCCCACCTCCCTGATCTCATTCCCTCCCTCAATCAATATGGGCCCATGTGAGTATAGGTGTGTGTGTGTACATACACATATGTGTGTGTGTATTTGTGTGTGTGTATATATATATATATATATATATACACATGTGTGTATGTGTGTATGCGTGTATGTGTGTGTACATATATATGTGTGTGTGTATATATATATATATGTATGTGTGTGTGTGTATATGTGTGTGTGTGTGTGTGTGTGTGTGTGCTTGATTTTTCAAGACAGGGTTTATCTGTGGAACAGTCCTGGCTGTCATGGAGCTCACTCTATAGACCAGGCTGGCCTCAGACACACAGGGATCTGCCTGCCTCTGTCTCCCTAGTGCTGCTGGGATTAAAAGCATATACCACCACTGCCCAGCTAGCCCTTATATTTTTATAAGAGGGCAAAGCAAAGATCCCGTTCTTCAGTAACTTAAGACACAGACCCCACCTATGGACCCAATGTCATTGCTGTCTGTCTTGGTAACCAAGGCAGTTTCATAAATTGTTGATATAAATACTTGCTTATTTTGTTGGCTGGGAAATCCCACAGAATGTTGTCCCATTTGATCTAATGAAGTGGATGATGCTTTGAGATCTGGTCCAGGAGAGTTGGATCAATCTCTTCATCATATTATGTCCATCTGAAGATGAATCTACTGAATCCTGGAAGAACCAAACCAGGGTAGCCATTAAAGGAAGCAAGGACCAAAATTGTATAGTGAAATACATTTTACTAGAGGAATAGAGAGGCCATCCATGGCCACATCCATCTATGGAATGATGGGGAAATTCTAGCAGTGAGAAAACAGACCCAGAGACAGGAACATCCAGGAAGGAAGAGAAAAGGAATCAAAAGGCCGTTGTGCCATAAGGAGGAGCCAGATGTTTAGCTTTTGTTTTGTTTTTCTGGAAGCCCCCATAAGGCAAAAGGAACAAGAATTCGAGATGGATTGAGCTAAGACCATTGAATATGTGCTAACTACTCAGTCACATCCTGGGGGTCCCTGGGCTAAAAATTAGTGGATACATTTTGCAGATTGGAATAAAGCAGAGTATAGATTGAGCCTGAGGATGAGGATGACAGACCTAGCTGTGGTGACAGTCCCCCAAGAGAATATCCCCCATGGGCGAGATCCTAAACAGAGAGTCGGTTGCCGTTCACTCGGAACCAGATAAATTAGTTTTTAACAGAAAACTATACGGTATCTTAAAAGATAGTTCAAAGCAGTCAAGAAAGCATTTGTTTAGTGAGGCACAGGTACAGGTGGGCATAAATATTATCCAGACACATCCCATGAGAGATAGAGGGACAGAGAGACAGAGAGAGATACAGAGATACAGAGAGACAGAGAGAGATAGAGACAGAGAGACAGAGAGAGACAGAGAGCACATATGTGGAGGTCAGAAGACAACTTGTGGGAGTTGAGCCTCTCCTTTCACCCTGAGGGTGCCATGGGTTACACGCAGGAAGTCGGGGTTGGCCGGAATTGCTACCCCTGCTAAGCTGTCTCACCGACCCTAACCTCACTTTTGAGTTGCACTTTCCTGCTGGGTGTTGGAGACCATGTAGGTGGCTGACAGTTGATCTTTTCTTCTTTTACTGGTAAGATAATGAAGACTCGGTGATGTTACTCTCGGGGGCCTGGGGTGGCCCTTAGATCCATTAGCTTCTCCTCCCTCCATTGTGCTGATGTATCAGGGTCCTGCTGACCATGCGGTTTCTCTTAGATACATAAGGGACATGTCCCCGCTCCCTGATTCTCCTCTCCTCATTACAGGATGGGTACTGTTGACATCTAACCCCTTTCCTGACCAACAGGACAGGTGACATCAGAGTTCTAGGGCTATGTTAGAGGTCATGTTGTCTCCTAGGTCCTGGATGACCTTGCAAGGCAAAGGCCCCCTTACCCTCTTCAGCTTTGACCGCCAAGCTTTGCCCCCCCCCCACTCCTGTCCCAAGGGAATCTGCATCCATCCTGAAGAGCAAGTGGTAAGCCTTCATTCCAACTTTTCTGTAACATTCCAAATGAACATGTTTTTAAATAAGCCCTGAGTTTATTAACAACCTGGGGGTCTACACAGTTAAAAACCCTGACAAACAACAGAAAACACAAGTAATTATCTTGATAAGAGTGAAATATCTGTTCTTTAAGCCAGTTCTTATAAACGTTACCAAGAACAGATCAGTATCTTAGGAAAACCTCCTTGTTCTAAATAAAGAGCCAGGTTTCTGTTTTATATCAGTATGCCAAGCTTTGGCCTTATAAAATGTAAACCCTTTTTTGTTTTCGGTTTTTTGTTTTTGTTTTTGTTTTGTTTGAGGCAGGGTTTCTCTGTGTAGCGCTGGCTGTCCTGGAGCTCGCTCTGTAGACCAGGCTGGCTCTGCCTCTCCAGCAACAGCATTAAAAGCATGCACCACTATTGCCCTGCAATATATTTGAATCGTGTGTGTGGTGTGTGTGTGTGAGTGTGTGTGAGTGAGTGTGTGTGAGTGTGTGTGGTGTGTGTGTGTGAGTGTGTGTGAGTGAGTGTGTGTGAGTGTGTGTGTGTGTGTGAGTGTATGTGTGAGAGTGTATGAGTGTGAGTGTGTGTGTGAGTGTGTGTGTGTGTGTGAGTGTGTGTGTGAGTGTGTTATAATCTTGGAGTGTCATTGTCTACTTACCTAGACCTTTTGCAACATACTTAAGGTTTCTAGTGTGCCTTCACCTTTCCTATACTGTACAAAATCCTTCCTTGTTCAAAATATTTTTTCTTTTTACCCCCCACCCCACTGCTTCTTTTTCTTCTTCTTTTTTTTTTTTTTTTTTTTTTTTTTTTTTGAGACAGGGTCTCTCTGTGTAGACCTGGCTGTCCTGGAACTCGCTCTGTAGACAGAGCTGGCCTCGAACTCACAGAGATCTGCCTGCCTCTGCCTCCTGAGTGCTGGGATTAAAGGCGTGCGCTACTATGCCCAAGTCCTTTCTGCCCTTTCTTACATCTATATCCTTCTCTACATCTATCCCCTGCTTGGCTCC